CGCATGGAGCGGTGGTGCTTCAGGTGTTAACGATAGCACGGAAAACGCTGTAACTCTCTTCAAACTGAACGAAATTTCACAAATTTTTTTTTAATCGAAAGCCGTATCGAAGAAGAATGAAAACAGCAAATTCGCTTATGAAATACATAGAAAAGCTGCTCAACCTAACAACATTCAAAAAAGAAAAGATGAAAAATCATTAAAATAGAAGAAAACAACAAAAAAAACAAAAAAAAAAGAATTAAAATTATGAGTTTTTTGGAATTTTTCCAAGTTTTTATTGGTCCCGACACGACGAGAAAAATTAAAAATTCAAAATTCAAAAAAATGCGATGCTGAGTGTCATAGTATCGCCTCCCCCTAGGGATCTGGTCCGTGGGGACCGTGAAACGTGAAACTCAGCGTGTACTTATGAACTTCCGCAACGTACATCGTACGACGTACGTTACGTGGTCATTATGAAGGAAAGTTTACGAGGGAATATCTCGTTTCTGAATGAACGGAATAGAGAACGAGTACCATATTTGGAAAGAGCTCGAAAAACTGAATCGGATGAGTGATATGAAAATTTTTTAAAATATTCGTAGGTGTATAATTATAAAACTTTGCAATAGTTCATTGTTTTCAAATCAATATGTTTGTAACAAAACAGTTTTCAAACTAACAGTAAGACACACATATATGCTCAATATATATATAACAAGACGAATAATTATTTTAAAGCTACGATGCTTCACCCTCTGTGATTGTGTAGAGTTCGGTTGTGATTTTGATTCCATGATCTTCTTCCATTGCTGAAATAATTTAATGAGGGAGAACTGTACAAGCAAACACTACATCCGCTTTCAGAGCCATTAAGATCTGCTTCCATGGCATGTACACCAAGTGAACTCATAGATGCGAGAATAAGTCCTTGGTTTGTTGATCTTTTAGCTTTGCCAGTCTTTATCCCCAAGATATTCCGCTTCTTCTTACTAAATAGAAGTTCCATAATTCGGGTAAAATTATTCTTCAAGTTTACCCCTGCAAGCCCTTGGCTCTATGATGCAGTCGTTGCATATTCACCGCTTCATGACGTTTCTCAACCAGGTCCTCTCCTATCAGATTACGATTATAATAGAACTAAGAAATCGATCAGTTTAAATCAAGGAAGCACTTGTCTCACTTCATTCATAGGGTTATGCATCAATTGCCGTATATGCATTATGTCTTTTGTGAGTTCAGCCGTCTCTTTCTCAAGATCTTTCCTATCCCTTGGAATGAAATTGTCATCTTCCTCCATCATTTCTCTAGGAATCTCCTCGCTTCAAATGAAACTATTTAGCAATTCAACAAAACACAAAACTTGCTTGTCCATCATTTCATCATATCTCTGCTGTCGTTTGAATGAGGATGTTGATGGGCTTGCCTTCATAGCCTCTCTGAATTTTTCTGTTATAATTGTCGTAAACCGATGCAAACCTCATAGTGGCAGCTCTATCCATCTCGAGAAGTTTTCCTTCTCTACGTTCAGAACCGTCATAGTTCTTCTCCAGCAGCGGGCGTAAATAATGTTTCGAGAAACTACTCAAACGAGCCTGAATAATCTCAACCTTTAGTTTTGCTACATTTAGTTCGTTATACCACCCAGCTAGTATCTTGATAGCCACAGATTTCTTCAATACCTTGTGACATATGAGCAATAACACCTCTATTGAACTCCATGAACATATAGAAGCGATCCTCTTTTTTCGCCAGTCTTATATTCAAGTAGCGCACAAGGAGTTTGATAGTTGATCCCTGGATACAAACACATGCCATCAGAAATGAACATTGAAACCTCTAACCTGAGCGAAAACTGTGAACAGTATAACCATGTACGTAGCAGAAAGTAAAGTTGCTTTAACGGGAACGTCATCATTTATCATGAATGCCAAGGAGAAAGAAACTGCTCCTCTGAGACCTCCGTACGCCTAAGAAATGTTTTGAAACAGGTGGTTATTTTGCATGCATGAGTACTAACCATAATGAGCTGTTCTTGAAAAGAAATGTATCGAACACCTCCGGTGAACTGATTCACAATATATGTAAGGAAGAACACCACTGAAAACAAGAGGTGTGCTCGTCATTTAAAAAATTTGAATAAATCTGGTATCTCCACGTGACGTTAACCAAAATCATTTCTCTATGGATTGACGTTTGAATCGGTTGTGCTTCACAAATCAGTTTTAATTCAATAACTAACTAACCAGCTATTCTAGAAACTGTACAAAGAACCACTGAATATATGGAGAAGAGAGGATGCCATTCACTCCAGAACCATTCTTGCTCGTTCACCAGCATTACTCCGAGTACTATGAAAATCAACGATTCCGATACGGCACTAAAACACCTTGCTCTTTGTGAAACCAAAGTTTGCATTACCTTGCCACTTTCGCAAAGTATGTTACACTGATGTATGACTTGGAAGCGATATTCTTACAGGCATAATGGGATTGGAACAGTCCACAAGCGATGATCCTAGAAACAAATCACGTTTTAATTTTATGATAGATACAAACCCAATGATTCCAGAGAAATGGAAGAGCTCACTTACCATGTATGATAAGTAAGCCATGCCGAATAAGACAACTGGCTCGACGACTATAAACCTAAGATGAGCCACTTCGAGCTGGAGACTTCAAACCTCGGACGTGTTCTGTGAATCTTGTGATAATTGCTGACATAGCACCGCAAGCTAAACCAATGAACAATCCTCCCAGAGAAACGCAGAGAAAAGCGAGTAAACCAAGAATAACCTGGTAATTTCATACATGAGTGTGGAAACTAGGAACTTCCTACATCAGTGAACTTGAATACTGGCAGCTCTTTGAACTCTATCATCAAATTGTAGCAAACGACAGTAACAGCGTCATTCAATAACGATTCACCGAAAACCATGAAGTAAAGCATTTTATTGACTCCGACTTCTTGGAAGATGGCTAATACCTGTAAAGATGTATGTTTTGAGAAGCAAGATGTTGTGATACTTACAGCAACAGGATCGACGGCCGCTATGAGAGACGCGAATATGAGACAGTCGAATGAATCAATTCGAAAATCGCCCATCATTCCCAATTCAGAGAAAAGTATCAGAAAGCCTCCGATGATAGCAATATTCAGAACAGTTCCCTAAACGGCACAACTTCATCAGTCAACTATGGAGTAATGCTCATACCACAACAGCGTACAGTACAATGGTTCCGATGTTGTCAATGAAAGCTCGGTCTTTGAGTGAGTAAGCAGATTCCAGAATGATGGGAGGTAGTAAGAAGAAGAAAAAGGTTTTCGAGTTAAATTCCAAAAACTTGATAGACTCATGAGTAGTATCTCCTCTATAAGAAATATGCAAATCAACAGAACTGATGCTGAACTTACATGAAGACTAAACCGCACACTACTCCTACAAGAATCAGGGCACATGATTCGGGGATCAGAGCTTGTAAGGCTCCAGAATGATGATAACCTGGACAAACCAGAAAATACAAGATATGATAAGAGGAACCAACCAAGCTTGAACAGTCCAATAACAATTATAAAGAGGGTGAGTACCAATGGTTCCTTGACATAATCAAATTTCCACGAAGCAACTTTGACTCCATGGGACTTGTGTTCTTTCTCATGATGCTCATGATGCTCTTGATGCTCTTGATCTACTGAATCATTGGTGACACGTTTCTCGATATCGGTATCAGTCAAAAGATTCAATAAAACAGATCTGAAAGTAGAACGTTGCAATAGAAGATGATCTTTATTTTGTACACGTAAGGGTGTCTTAAAACCGTTTGACATTTTGAGTTGACAGGTTCTTAGCACTTAAGAAGTGCATGGAATGTAAAATAAAACCATTGTGGTTTCTTTTATTTGTTGATAATTATAACTAAAGGAATTATTTTCGATTATTAATGGAGCACTTAAGTGTGGAGGAGCATGCAAACTATTTGAGAAGGCGTAGTAGCATTTCATAACTTTTCAAACGTTTATCGAACGGGGGGGGGGTGAAAGAGAAAGTTAAGCTTCACGTTACCTTCTAACTCCAACACTTTCAGCATAGGCTAGAACATCTGTCCAAAACTCCGTCTCATTCTCCACACTGATTTCTATGCCATAGACGAGTATAGGTAAGAGCAGGAGAACCAATGAACATATTTTCATTTCATACAGCTATTCTTTTAAAACGAGAAAACTTGCTCGTGTTGATTCTCTGAACATAATATTTACAACGATGTGACAAAAATAAAGTAAGGAGGAAGTTTCCTCTATATAGAGAAGAAAGGACAAAGAGTGAAACGCATAGCGCACTGAACATATAAGATGTTCATGTGCAATATGAATCACAGTGAGTGTGGTTAGCGCTCCGGAAACAGTTGATAAGCACCATTATAAGCGAGGATGATAAAACAACAGAATGAGGAGTAGTTTCAACATATCATTCGTTATAATCAAATGAGGAGAATATACAGAAGCACTACATATGACTGTAATGTAAGCTAACAAACGTAGATGTTTTAGAAGATGGCAATGTATTGCTTACTGATAACAGAAAGCCATTAAAACGAGTACCAACATGGAAAGTACCCAAAAGAAGCAAAAGACAACTAAGACAAAGATTATCCTCTACATTAGAACACAGTTTCAGTTTCTTCTAGTATCAAATAGGGGAAAACCTTTTTAAGTACGTGATCAAACATTTCCTCTCTACGTCAACATATGGCGAGGAGGTGGGAATGCTATAAGCTTATGGCTTCGTTCCATTCCTGTAACTTGAAGAACTTAGTAAATACAACGATCAGTCATCAAACATGATAGGGAATATTGAATCCATCTTCCAACCAAGTCATATTCCCATTTCATTTCCATATTCGGCATTGTGTGCTTCGTAGCCATACCATGGGAATCCGTGTCTGTAATGCAAATGTGACATTCCCAAATATGAGGAGCATGCTGATGAATCTTTCTGTTCAATAAAAGAAATCTAAAAATAATTTAGGTTCTTTTCAGCAAAGCTTCAAATAGTCCGCAAACCATTTCGCAGTTTTATTACATGATGAATAGACTCGACAGGTCAACCACTTTCCAGATACGTGGTTTGCATTTTTGGCCATTTATCGGCTTCCTAATAAAGCATATAACGTATCAACCTGTTCAAACCACCCCCCCCTCTTCGAATGGAAGAACGACAACAAGACCTTCTAACATGTTTGAGGAGAAAAAAAAAATTTTGACGTTTCATGAAATAAACAAAACGCAGCTCAAATTAATCTTAAGACGTTCCTTTTCCCTGATTCTCTTCGCTATCATTTTCTTTTTCTCTCTCTCTCTCCCTCTCTTTATTTAGCTAACAATAACTTTTCGCACTTCTTTACCATTCTTATCAGTCATATTTCCCATCAACTACTCTTGTCCACGTCTACTCAGCACGAAAGACAGATCAAATGAATTACCTTTGAGGGTATACAGTTATGATTGAAGAAAGAAAACAGTTCGTGTCATAAAAGTAACAATAACTGAGCTTTTACGAGCTTTTCTGGTCTGCAACTTCACAAGCCCTCAAGTGCATCAAATGATGAGCTCATGACGCGGTACCTTTCATCTACTACATTAACTTCACACTTCAAATGCTCAGCTATTAAAAAGATAGAAAACAAGGGTGGTCTAAGATCTCCTAGCATTCTATTAATAACCTATGTCTTAAGGAAATTTAATCTTTTCTGAACTGTACGCATCACAGGGTGATGTCATCTAACAAGCACCGACTACATCTATCTATTGGAACCGTGCAACTTTAATTGTTATCGACAGCCACCTAATGAAGTCACAAGAACGAAACGAATAAGAGATGCTGTGCTTAATAAACTATTGTAAATCGAAAACACATCAAAAGATAAATTATTTATTATTACAACAATCTATACAATTACTCATACTCCCTCTTCAGCACCCATTGCTTATTAAAACGGTTTAGGTCAGCAATCTTATTGAGAATGGCACGGAAATGGACTGGCTTAACTTCTCCCAGTTCATTCTACAAACAGCAAACTACAGAAACAGACAGAGATCATCCTACCTTAAACCTATCGACAATCTGATTAGTATACGCTTTGTTCCCTTTCATGATCATGAAACCTCGAATATCTTCGGCCATTTTCGAATGCTTATCCGGGACCGGCGTTGCCTAGAAATGATTTCAAACTCATAAGGACTACAGCTACAGAGGCTCACGATTTCTTCAATTTCATCCGTGTTTTCAAACATTCGACGCTTCCTGTTTGCCAACGCTTGCAAAAAACTTAACTTCTTACCACCTCTGTGAATCACTAACTCATAAAATTTATTTGATACGGATAATCACCTTTCGTTCTCACTTTCAGTGGATGATTCACTGTCATTATCTTCATCTACAGGTTGACGCATTTTCGCTTCTTCCCTGATCTTTGAAAGCGCACTAGCTTTCGGTCTAAGAAATAATAAGGGAACACCAACAATACTGAGCGTACCTTGACTTTATAACGGCTGCTGCAGTTCGTGCAACACTTTCTGCTTCCTTCTGTACCAAATCATCAGAAGACCTTTCGCCTACGACGTGATCATGAGTCAATACACTACGTACTCCTGCTGTTTTCAGAAGACGACCGAGGACGTAATCATCTTGAAGCTGAAAAGACCGTACTAATCTTTGTTCTATAGATCGAAAACACCTTCCTGTCCTTCTTCTTGGATTCTTTTCTTTCCATCTTTTCTTGCTTTTTCTCTTCCTTGGTTTTTTTCACTTTTTCTTGTTTTTTCAAATATGGGACACTATACTCTCCATCCAACAGCTTCTTCTTCTCGCCATTATCAACCTTAACAGCTTGAACGAGCGAAGGGTTCCTGAAAAGTCAGCATAGCACAGATACATCACCGCAAGCTTACTTTGCAAACTGTTTAGCCAGCTCGCGAAGTTGTTGTTTTCTCTCCGCACTAATCTCAGTAGAGAAAGCTTCTTCTTCATCGTCATCCACTTCTTTAGAGCTCGTATCCTTCTTCTTCTTGTTATCTTTTCTGCGTTTCACCCTTCTGTAACAGAGAGTATCAGTAACTAAATGCGGAGTACAACCGATCAGCACTGCTGTTGAATTCAAAATGAAAACAAAGCCACGCGAAATGGTTATGAAGACTTACTCCTTCTCATGCGAATCGAAGAAGTTTTCTCTGTTGATTTCTTTGACTTCTCCAGCGAAAAGATCAGAAGTCTCGGTACTTGTTTGATCCTGGAATCAGTATCATTATAAGAGATGCGCCTCAGGCTCACTTTGTCTGCCAAACAAAACAGCTCATGAAGATCGTTTGTTTTGAAAAATTGTCGTTGTTTAGGATCATGCAAGATTCGGTTGGCCAAGAACTGTTTGAATATTTGTCTGAGAAAGAAAGGATACTTATTTCACATTCCTTATTGGTACCTATGATAAATTTTCTCTTCTATGGTTCCAACAGACAACAATCTATATACAGTAACATCTCGTTTTTGACCGATTCTCCAAGCACGTTCACGAGCTTGTGCGTCTGTAGACGGGTTCCAATCCGGGTCGAAGATAACAACCGGAAATGCTCAACACTAAGCTTTTTTATTCAACATCACAAACTTTGTTAGCTCCTGTCAAATTCAGACCTAAGCCTCCAACTTTAGTAGTTAGCAGAAAGACCAAAATGTTTTTATCCTGAAAGCTCAGTTAGTGTCGAAAGCTCAGAAAGAGGAACCGTATTGAACTGTTGGGCATATCTCTGACGACTGCTTATTGGAGTTTTGCCATCCATGCGAAGATATGTGTAATTCTCTATCAGAAGAAACCTTTCTATTATATCTAACATTTGTCTGCTCTGACTGAACAACAATACTTTGTTATCGCCAGCCTTAAGAAAACCATAACACTTCAGGTATCTCTTTTCTACTACCTTAGACCAAAGTTTGAGTAAGCTTTTGATAACTATCATTTTACCACTTCTTTCGAACCATCCAAATTGTTTTTCAGGATGCACACTTTCATCATAATCACCTAAACAGTTAGTGTGAGGGGAACGTTTTGTTTCGAACTACCATTCTTGTTTGGACCACCCGTCACCAAATCTGGATGATTGCACAGTTTTCGAAGTAAGATCATGCCTACGAAAGCTTCTAGTCGACCTGTAAGAAAGGAAGAAAAGTTTTCCAACTATGTACGAGGAGTACCATGCAAAATGCGATCACATTCTTTGGAGTTCAGATACTCGTTATAGAATCTTCGCTGATGATCAGTGATATCACAGAAAAGTATCTACAAAGAATGATTTGCCTCATAGCTCTCCCTTGTAAGACCTGTTCATTTTTCTCAGGAAGCTCGATGACCTGTTGAACATCCTTCTTCATTCGTCGCAGAATGTATGGATTAATTGCATCTCTTCAAAAGGAATACATCAAAGTCTGAATGATTGTTTGTGTACCGTAAGACTAAAGCACATTTGTAAGCTGTTAAGGATTGTACAGGAGTAGCGTTAGCATATCCTCCTTGGGTAATTGGAATGGAAAAAGTTTCCATGAACTTTTTGAGAGATCCTAATCTTCCGGGAAAGATAAATTCTATGAGAGACCTCAAAGTGCATGATTTGTAAGAGGATATATAGTTCGTTTACCATAATTCTTTTAAGGAATTTTGCATGGGAGATCCACTAAGTATTATTCTGTGAGTAGTGTGCACATCTCGCACTGCCAAAGAAATCTAATGAAGTTATGAGATCATCATGATGCGATGTGTATGTGAACCTGAGATTCAGGGTTACGAATTTTGTGTCCTTCGTCTAGTATAACATAATGCCAATTTTGGTCAACAAAAAGTTTTTTCTCTTTGCTGAACGTTGAATAAGAAGTAATTACAATCGATCCTCCTCTGCAAGGGGTTTCAATACATAAAGTTTTCTCACAACACACAAACTTGCGATCAACAGCCATCTTGGATAGAAGACTCTTCTTACTTCCTTTATAGGTACCTGAGGAATGTAGAACTGACACCTAAGAAACAGAAAATCTTTCTGCGGACTGGAGCATGCAATGTACCCTACACTCCGGCATCCAAAGATGAAGCTCTTTCACCCATTGGAACATCAAGGTTGCAGGGCAAATTATGAGCGATGGCCCCATACCCGTGAAACTTCAAAGAATAATGAAGAGCTCTTAAAAACTTTCTTACTTCAACAACGGATCTTTCGCAGCCGATTCTTCTATCGCTCTGAGAAAACAGATGATCTGAAGTGGGAACCTAAGAGATAAGTTCTATCAGTACAAAACCTGGATTGTTTTGCCCAATCCCATTTCATCTGCAAGGATTCCTCCAACTTTCTGCTGATGCAACTCGCAGAGCCATCGGATCCCAGTTTTCTGATATCTGAACGACCAGAGCCTTAGCCGACAAACCGTGAAATGTATAACTTATAAAGCTTTTCCCAAACATTTGTTTGAATGGAGATATCATGTTTGATCAAATGCAATTCTTCACCTTCGCCGGAACTCCCTACTGTTTCTTTCAATTCGCTTAAATAATTTGAAAAGTTGAGTTAGTTTTTGTAGATTTACGCTAAGCGAGCTTCAAAGTCCCTATCATTGGCATCATCCACAAGCAACTGCGACGATGAACTTTCTCTTTTCACCGTTGGCCGTCTTTTTCTGAGATCAAGGTGATTTATAGAACATAGGGATTGAAGTTGTACTTGTTAGTAGAAATCTTCTTCAATTTGCGAGGCGGTTCAATCGATTCATCTTGATCATTCTGATCGGATAGTAAATCTTCATAAATGACATCTTCGTCAGATTCGCTGCCAGTTTCCCCTTCTAGATAAGAGAAAACGTGCTTGACATGTGTGTGTCCAACCTTCTTTTGCTAGCTCGAAAGGAGTCTTATCACCGAAACGGACTGAGTCAGCAAGGCCCATGAGCTGATCAAATTTTGTAGCTTTCTGTTCACCGCCATCTTGGCTCAATTCATACTGGGCAATCACCTAAGTCAGAGAGAAGATGAGGTGAATCGATGAAATTGAATGTAATACATCTCTTTCTAATTGTCCACTGTTAACAGCAGAAACTCCAGGACCTAACAGGCTTAACTCAGAAGGCTCGTTATCTCAAAATAAAAATATATTTTGTTATCAAGTCCAATGTTATACTTTGGATTGCGCCATCATCCGTTTCAGCGCTCCCACCTTCATCGCTCATATTTCTGAACCTGTAACAGGATCATCCGAAAACGTTCAGTATTTGGAAATATGAAATTGATGGTAACAACGGTCTCGTGAGAGAATCCAGAAAACAATCTTTATGGGAACTGATTCAAAAATCAAAAACTTAAAACAATCGGCAAGGAAAATGCTGAACACAGAGAAAACGAATACTTTGGGTTAGTACTAAATATAAAACATCACAAAACAATAACAGATTATGAAATTATATACAAAACGTTCTAAAACGGACAAACTTTGGCACTTTAAAACTACTTTATGGAACTATTTGGACCAGTTTGATCACCCACGACGATATCCTAATTAGGAAGAGCTAGTGATTGAGCGGATTTCTTTGTTCAATTCACCAATCCTCTCTTGCATTATTTTTCGACAATGTTCACTAAGATCATCAACTGTTTCAAAATCTGCTGGGTGAACTGGTGGGAGAAGGTCAATCAGAACCTTTCCGTTGTCTCGGAAGATTTTCTCTTTCTTAAAATAAAGTAAATAGATGACGTGCAACTACTAGACAACTCACATAGTTGTAGAACACATCGTGAGTGGAGAAACAACAACAAACGATTGGGATCTGAATATACGGAATCGAGATGTTCTTTTCTCATTTCACTCTTACATTTGCTTGCTTCGCGATTCTGAAAGCTCCTTTCTTGAAGGGGAGAAGAGTGGAAGTAGGGTTACGAGTTCCTTCGGGGTATATCCAAACTTTTTTCTGGAATAATTACACAATCGAATGACATGATTGATCGATCATACCTTGTTCTTCATGATGTCATCAACTGTTCCATCAACAGTCTTATGAGCTTTTTCTTTACTAAATCTATTGATGTAAATAGCCTAGAAATGGTACGGTGAGTACAGCTCAAGTAGACATGCTTACCTCGCAAAGGTAAGCACATAAGTTAAAGCCGGGGAGGAACTTCAAACTACTTTTCAACATCACAACACAATTCTTTGGCCAAACAAAAGTCATTCCTGAATATGCAGTTACTGAAAGAGTCTCAGAGTGTGCGAACTAACCCAAAACATCTAGAGCACTCTGATGATTTGCGATTATAACAAAAGGCTCATCACTTTCTAGGCTATCAACGTTCTTTTTAATAAACTGAATATTGAGCAATGAATTCATCATCTGGAATACGGCGAAGATTCTACTGAAACAGAAGAGAAGTAAGTGATCTTCAAGAATTTCAACTTACTAATGGTTGTCAGTAGTTCTTCCATAAGGCAATGACAATAGACCACCTAGCATGCCTCCAAAACTCAGACAGAAGGAATAGTACATGCATTTGACATAATATTTCACTCTGTATAAGATATTACAATGCTTGATGAGACCAAGTTCTACATACCCGTAGTCCTGAGGAAGAAAGGCTAACAGAATCGCTAAGAAGAAAAGAAATAATATTAACCCCCACATCTGAAAACGATCTATTATGATGGATATTGCGAACAATAAAGAGAATTGTCATCGAACAACCAAAAACACAAAAGACACAAGCTAGGGTGATAAGAAAACTCACATGATAACAAAATGAGATAATCGAGAAGTTTCAATAAGATTCAAGGACACAAAAAGCTTGAGCGATCAATCAGACCTCATCCAAGAGAGAAAAGAGATCAAAACAGTTTGTATTTACATTACAGAAGCAAAAGTATCATAATTATCATTAATTACCCTTAAGTGCAATTATTTCCAACTTAATTGCAATTTTACGCGTGCAACTGAAAATGTCTGAAATGACATTTTCATTTCCACGTCGAACTTTTGAATTTGGCAAGCTGCTTTATAGCCAATAATTGATAGCTGAAGTATACTTTTACTTTTCTAGCCTTTTATTTGTTATGAACGCACCAGCAGCGTTCGAATCATTTTTAATCTTTGACGGTGAGCGGAAGATCAGTTTTGAGAAAGACACCAAAGTAAGTAATCGACAGAAAATTCTAAGACGTTTCTTAGGTTCCTAACGCCGCTGTATTCACCATCAACAAGGAAGATCACACTATTGGAAACCTTCTGAAGCAGTAAGATAATACATTCCCGGAAGTATTATTGTTCGTGTGTTTCAGCCAGCTTTTGAAGGACCCCAACGTTCTTTTCGCCGGATACAAAAACCCTCACCCTCTCGAGCATTGCGTAAAGTTCACCATTTGAAAGGGTATCATACGGTTGTTTTCAGATTATTCTCCGTGTGCAAACTACAAGCGATAGTACTCCCTCGGACGCATTGACAAACGCGATTACTGATTTGATCGCCGAGCTTTCCTTGTTCGAAGAGAGATTTAAGGTTTACTCTCCCTACACTCCTTCTATTAGTATTATTGTTCTAGGACGCTGTAAAGGAGCGTAACGAGATCAACGAAAAGACTTACTAAATTTAAAGCTTCAAAATGACTTCCGAGTGTTCTCCTATTATTCGTGTATGTAGAAAACGATCAGCTGATCCTCATAGCGCATTAGTTGTTCAATTAAAGCGGCAAAAAGTAATTTGACCATCTTCTGTTCAATGTATATTCACTGTTTTACAGGCCGACCCCCTTCTTTTCTCACTTTTCAAAACATGTGATACCCCCGAACCTGAATTCACTGAAAAATCGTCATCAAAGAAAGTCATCGATTTCTCCTCCAATAATGATACTCATAGCAATGACATCGGTGAGCAATAACTCCGTTTCATATTAAGAATGTTGTTTCAGAAATAGACAATCCATTAGCGTTCGCTAACAATTCAATTAATGAAGTTGGTGGTCCAGAACCTCAAGTGAGGCACGATGATCAGATAATTACGGTAAGAGGGACCAGAACGTCTCAAGTTTCAACATATTCTCCTAGATCAATGGACAACCTATGGTCTCCAACCGGCCTACTGCCGACTTCGTTTTTGACTTTTACAAAATATCCAGAGGCTTCATCAGTAAAGATGTTGAGGATATCACAGATCTCGATATGCGTTTCGCCACTAAGTGAGTGTTTTCTCTATTCGACTTAGCAGATGCTTGAACTTCAGAGAAGAAGAAGATATGTTGTGTCTCGATGATAACTCTGAGAGCGAAAACGGTTGTTTAGAGGACGATGAAGATTCTAATGATGAAGGCAATTGGCGTAATGATTATCCTGAAGAAGAATCTGAAGTACGTTTTTAAATTCTTCATAAGGTTACCTATATCCAATTATAGGATGAGTTCCACAACGGTGAAGATGATAACGGTGGTGATTTCGGTAACCTGCGATTGCAAATGCAGCGATTCGGCTTCAACGATGAAGAAGAAGAGTATGATGTCGATGATGATTTAGATCTAGAAAATGATTATGATCAATTCGATATTCTTGCTGACGATGAAGTTGATCACATTTTTGATGACGATGATGATGACGATGATGACAATGGGTTAGGCGTTGAGTAATATCATATTCCCTCATTACGTATAAATCGTCTTCTTCTGAATATCAGGTCTTTTTTCAAACATGTTCCCCTTGTTATGTTGCGCTTTTCAATAAATGTTGGTACACTCATCCCCCCTATTGATTTTTTTACACTTAAAGCAACAACACACATGCAAGGTCATGTCCCCAAAAAAACGATAAGAAACAATTCAGTCTATGATAGGAAGCTATCATATTCATGAAATGCTCAAGTGGATACTGTTTCTATGCTTCCTGGTGCAGATTGATTGCCGCATAGGCTGTAAAGGATTAACAGGATCTAAAGTTGACTGGTAAGCCACGTAGCATAGCTTTTTCACAAGTTTTTGTTTTAAGGTTCATCGTCTACAAACTACCTGCAGGCGAGAAAAACGCCAACCAAGGAAAAGCTTTTCTCTATGTGGATAGCAAGAATCCCCAGTGGGCTCTGAGCAAAAAAGATATCGAAGATGACTCGGTTGCTGTTGGAGCTACTGTTAAACAAATCTACAAAAGAGAGCCGGTAAGCTTGATCTGATGACGCTAAGAGAATCATACTGTTTCAGACCGCTTTTCATTTGATGTACAGTGATGATGGTCCTAATACAAAAGCTGATAGCTACCGAGGACATTCGAAAGGAGTTCTTCTGTTCGATTCATCCACGGGCTTCTGGTTAGTGCACAGTGCACCGAATTTCCCACCCACTGGTTTTACTATTTTCTATACACAACACAAAATCATATCTATCTTAGCATCATATGCATACCCTGCATCTGGAGTAAAGTTCGCACAAACATTCATGTGTGTTTCAATCAACACCAACGACTTAGGTAATATTGGAGACCAACTGCGCTTCATTCAGGCCACACCGTTTGATCAAAACCTCCCGGCTAAATTTGCTACTAGGTACTTATTCAACAATGACTATAGACAATAATTCCCTAACTTGGAAGATTCCCCGTGTTGAGAAATGTTGTCGCAAAACAATCATTACCTCAATCAGCAACTGTGTTCACGTCAGTTAAGCACATGAAAACTGTTGATGGAGTGGTCATTCATAGCTTCGCCAAGCACAAAAAGTTCCAGAAAGGTATGATTATGCGAGAAAACACTTGGAAGCAGAACAATTAGACCTATGGCACGATCTCGTAGCACCCGAAATGGGAACTAACCTGGCAGTTCAAAGTTGGTTGAATGGAGGAGCAGCGGATTTACATTCTGTTTGTACTTCACAGTACAGCGTGAGTTTCTGAAATGAAAATATAAAAAAAACAGAACAAACCGAGAAGCGTTAGAATCATACAACCGCTCTCAAAACGCATTAGCAAAAAATGAATTCCCAACGTAAACTTTCCGTGAACTTCCCGTGAGCATATTACCTCGGAGATTAATTAGCATAGAGTATTCTGAGCATCGCTTATCGTTTACAGGTTTATGACATGAAAACCGTAACTGTTCCGGACCTCACTTTTAATAGCTCAAAAGATCATTCCAAGTGGGCTGTTTCTGATACTGAACGCGTTCCTTTAGTATGTGTTGGAGATATAAATAGACAAGTACTAAAAAAATATTTTTTCAAATTGCAAATATTATTTAAGAAATCACAACTGAGTCGAGGAGGAGGAACTTTGTGCATACAATCGGTTCCCTTATGGAAGACCTATCGCTCAACAGTTTCAGTTGTTGAGCCTTGTAAAACTAATGGAATAGATCATTGGATATATTTTCTTGTTATATTAGTTACGAGCTTTTTCATCTTAGGGATATGAGATTAGAATTCAATCAATTTCTAGCATAACGGAACAGATCAAAAGAAGATCTGTGACATTATTGTGTTACACGGTCAATGGAAGGTGGTGACTCGTTGTGTTCATGAGCATCATAAGGACCATATGAAACATAGAGAAGACTTTCTCTGAAATCCTTTCTCCACTAACTTCTTCTCTTCCCCAGAATCCACAATATAATCAAAATCATCTGAACAAAAAGAAAAAATACTATTGACTGTATGTTAATTACTTTTCCCATGGTCCCGTTTCCACATGACTATGAGCTCTGCCGTAGCCCCGCACATCCCCCTCTCTGTCACGCAATATCCCGCACTAGCATACAACTTCCATTTTTTCTGTTTGGCAATGTTTTCCGCCTCTCTAATGTCAACAGTCAAATATTGTGTTGCTTAACAAAGAATCATATCAGTATTATATCATACTAACCTTTTGTTGACATCAAGTTTTTCATTTCTACCAAATAAGGACATCTTTTGAGCAGCTGTTCACGCTTCCTGTCAAACCGCTTCGTTGAAATAACTTTACCAACTGGCTCTGACAAAAAAAGCTTTCACATTTAGAATTCGAACTAACCTTGGCGCTGATATCCATGAGATCTCTGAAACTCGACAAGCTTACGATCACTATGGCAGAAGTGTTTGAGAAGCCCACCATGAAAACTATGGTACAACTCAACGGTTTGATTTGATAAATCCTGGAAGTAAGTTTTGCTCACAGCTGAGTAGAGGTGTTACCTTCGTTAAAAAACCAACGATTGTAGTATTCGGAGAATGGATCTCATCTGTACCAACATGATGTTTCTCGTCACTTTGCGAAGAAGGTTCAGACGACCCAAACAACCCACCAATGAAGTTCCAAATTTTGCTCAAGTTTGATTCGACGGGAGTGTTTTTTCTGATGTTTTCTTTGATGCGTCCTTCCCCCGATTTTCGTGGTACTGTGATATTTTTTTGAGTGGACACCAACTCAGTTTGAATTGGAGCATGTTCTGACTCATTCTTGTTATATTGTTCACGGCTGACAGTTGCTAATGTTTGGTTGAAGAAATCTGTCGAAACTTCTTCTGTGTCATTCCCTCGGGAGAATATTGAAGGTTCGAACGGATCATTTTCTTCAAAATCGATGTCTTCATAAGCAACAGGAACTTCTACTTGGCTGTCATAGAAAATTCCATCATTCGATTTTTGATATGAAGGTGATACAGTCGTCTCTAGCGGCAATTTGATTGAAGGAACATTCGAAGATAAAACAAACGATTGTCCCTGTTCATTGGAATTCTTTGCGAAGGTAAAATAGTAAAAACGTTCTCGATGGGTACTTACCTCTTGTTGTCTCAAAGAAGTGGGAGTAAGGCTTCTGGTTGTTGAGGGGGGCTTTTCATCCCAGATCTCGTCATAATCTGTAGAGGATTAGGTTCATTAACTATCAATTGGCAAACTGAGGCGGTAACATTCAGCGTACAAAAGAAAAACTAACTGTTGGAGTAGTCAATGACTCGAGATTTCAATTTCGTTTGTTCTTTTACTTTGACTGGCAGCGACTGAAGACTGACATCTGAAGAGACTACATAACAGTTTACATTCATAACAGAAGTACCCGAAACGATGAGTAGGAAGTAAACAAGGAGTTGGAAGAACATGAAATCCTTTCACGGAATTCCTTCATTACAACCTTATATTCAGAGAGTTTTTATGGATATGACTCATCCCCTTCCTTACAACTTTATTAAAAAGTAGACAATATGAACGACAACCTGTTTATGAGAATGTTTCAAATAAATTATACAACCAATGAAGTGTATCCCGACTTATAGCACAACAATACCCAAATATCAACAAAACAAAGAAAAAATTATAACTCCTCATGCCCATAATTGACCCTAGCTGCGTTTCTTCCAGCGATTCTGCCGAACACAACACATTCCAATAAGGAATTTCCGGCTATTCTGTTCGAACCATGAACTCCTCCTGAATTTTTAGCTTAGCACTACCCTCTTCACTTCCAAATCATACCTGCTACTTCACCAGCAGCATACAATCCCTTGAATGGTTTCGCCATGAATTCATTATGAACTTGGGCCTAATAATGTCAATTAAGATAGCGATAAAGATCTTCAGAATACCTGCTTGTCAATTTTCAAACCGCCCATGGTGTAATGGAGAGCGGGAGTTATAATAGCAGCATAGAGAGACTCGTTCTCATTGAAAGCAATTGGGAAGACTTTCTTTTCAAAAGCATCCTTTAAATTTTTAAGATTAATTACAACTAATGTGCCTCATCGAACTTTTTTCTTATTGGATCCTTCGGTCACGAAGCTATTGTAAGTAGTGAAGGTGTCCTTGATGGTTTCCACTTTTATCTTCAATGCATCTGCGAGAGCAGCAACATTCTCATATTTCTAAAACGAGATGGAATAACAAAAACAAAGGGAAACGTACCACAAAGAATTTCTTGATATTGTAATAGAAGTTGAAAGCTGGTCTTCCGAAGTTGTCAGCCGCAGCATCATTGAGAAGCATTATAGCAGCAGAGCGATTAGCTGATCCTCCCTTGAAAACAAAGTGTCGTCAAATTTCAGAGTTCATGAACCAACTTGGAAATCTTGATCAATAACTTGACATTCCTTCAAGATATGTTGAGTGAGGTAGTCTCGTCTGCCTAGCTCATTAGCGAATCGTTTACCTTTGGAGTTGATCTATAAAAAACCAAATTCGTATTTAGAGGTGAAGCAGCATTTACCAAAAGAGCTCCTCGTCCACGTAGGGCCTCAGCCGCTAAGAACTTGGTATTAGCAGAAGGGTCGGCAGGATCAACAAAAGCAGTTGGATGAACTTGCACTCTTTGCATTCCAATAACCTGGTAACGACAATAAGCTTGAGGAGATGATTATTTCAAACTTGTGCGCCCATAGCTCTTGCCATCTTAATTCCGTCTCCTCTGGCAAAATGTCCATTTGTGGTTGGGAAGTTGCTTTTCTCTGGGGCAAATTCTAATAACAAACTGCTATCTGTTTCCTTGTCTGAACTGAATCCTCCGGTAGCAAGGATTACAGCTTTACCAGTGATTTCCCCTGAGATTATCATTATGCAGAAGATAAATATGGAAATCATACATTTCTTTCCTCCTCCAACAACATTAATTCCAGTAATGTATTCATTCCAAGACGTCAAACCCAAGCACTAAATTTGGTTAATTAAGATATTCACTGGCATTATAATTAATTAGAATAATGTTCATTCCGTTCACGTGACTCACGTGGCTAGAACTTTCATCTAATTATAATTCATTTTGAAATGTGAGACGAAAGAACACGGTTGCAAAAAAATCAATCACCGATGTGTCCGTGAGTATTTGTAGTTTCTCTGGATTCTCCTTTTGGAACTCTTCTAGTTTGGTTTTCAAAGCTTTTATTATTCCGAAACCAACAGGCGTAGGCTTTCCTTCTTTTGGAGACGGAATCCTACAGAAATGATAACGAAATTTTATCTATATGCACCACAAACCAATGAACTCTTGGAACAGAGTGCCCTCCACACAAATTTACATCACCTAGATCAACTCCTGCTTCCTCCAAGAAATCGATAGCATCAGCCGAATCGTCAACCTAGCATAGCATACTAGAACTAAGAATATGACTTCCTAGTTACCAAAATATCGACAAGGCCTTCATCGTTTTCCCTATCGCCACCAGACAAAACGTCCGAGAAGAATCTATCCCTGGAATCTTGAATTCCCAATTTTTCTTGGGTTCTAGTTCCTGTTGCACTGATCCCTATTAAAAAAGCAACGTTCCGCAGTTATGTGTGTAAATATACCGCTGCTGGCCTTAGCAGAATTTCCTCCCAGATTTTTTTCAGAATCGACTAGAATTACTTTAGCTCCCAATTTCACGGCTTCAGAGGCAGCAGTAAGACCTGCAAGTCCTCCCCCGACAATTATAACAGGCTCTTCAAATGTAGGAGCCTGAAGACATATTTAATATGCTACCACTGATAAGAGCTCTTCACTAACCTTTCTCCTAACAGCTTCCACCATCATAAAAGTGGTTATTAGGAGAGCAACTCTCATCCCTCAATAAATCCATGAAACTTAAGCAAAACAAACAAACTAGGTACACACAAGCTGAGGACTATTGGGGGAAGTGAAAGGAACAATTACAAAAACCCATTTTATCGTTCATAACAATGAATATTAATGTCTTACAAGCATTAGGCAACGAGATATGCAAAAAGATATAAGAGATCTCACTAGAGTAAGGAAACATATAATTTGTCTGTGAAATCCTACACGCACTCAGGATGTATGAAAACCAAAAGCAAGAAACCGGAACAAAGACTGAGGTTATGTGATACATGTAACGCCATGAATTATTAATAAGAACAGTTTCCGATATAATCAGATATAAATTTAAAGTGGACGCAAGTTCCAATAATGCACAATCCATGACTCAAGAATAGTCGAAGATAATTAATTAAATGAGATAACCTTAAAATCATATTTTTGTTACAAATCATCGTCGTCATCATCTGGGAGAGGGGCATTGATAGCCTCTGATAACAACTTGTTTTTCTCCTCCATCGAAAGTGGCGATTCACCTAGCTCGACGTCTTGCATTCCAGAATTTGATTCTGTAGCATCGTCGGTTGATTTCTCGTCACTTATCGAGGAAGACTTATCAACTTCGTTCGACACTTCTGTATCCATGGATTCTTCTTGGTCACACTGCTGAAAAACGTGAGTAGGGACAAGAATGACGATGAACAAATACTTGGATGCTTGATGGTTCACTTATTTCATCAGGATCTCGAACGCTTTTTTGGTCATCAGACATAGAGTCTAAGCTCGTTCTCCTCAAATAATCTGAGTCGAATAGAAAGGGTTTTCTTGAAGGATTTAAAGGACTTGGACTGATCGATACCCTGTATTTACACAAATATAAATCGATGATATGTCTATAAGCTTACATGTGAGGTTGCACAAACTCTTGAGGTTGTGAAGTTGTAGGATAAGGAAAGGTACTATCGGTGACTAGAGGAGAAGTACTATTCCGGAGAAAATTTCTTTTAACATCAGTATCTTCAACAACGCAGCTAGGTGTATAGCGTCTTTTCAGGGGGCGCGTACTTGTACTAGGAGACAAACTTCTAGAAAATCGTTTAGAATGGGCCCTATACTAAGCTTATACCTCAATAATCTGTTCCTAGTAGGACTTTGCGTTGGACTAGGATTGGGGGAGTAGGGAATATTTGGTCGGACCATTTGCTGTGTTGAAGGAGAATAGCATTGCTGAAATACAAACGTCATTAGAGATATCACACCAACTCTTTTATTACTTTATGGGCATCAGGTAACCGTGTAGGACTAGGTGAACAACTATGAGGAAGAAAAGAATTAGTAACTATGGTTATTGGTTCTCCAACTGAAGTAGTGGAGGGTGTACGCTTTCGTAAATCCTATAAAAAGATATGACAATCGCAATTGAATAACGTCATTACCTTTTGATTCTGATCAATAACAAACTCATCGAAACCTGTTGAAACTTTTTGAGATACTTTTACTAGACATTCGTGAGCAACCTGAAACAAGTTGTTCACATGATTCCCATAACCGATACAAACCTCTGTTTCAATAGCACTTTCCCTACGAATATGAGCTATCCTACCCCTTGGAGCATCAGCGCCCCTACCCGGAACTATCACATTATCATCTGCAGCCTTAAACAATATATGCTCACATCAGAGAAGATGTTCGGTGATCGTACCCTCGTCCTACTATTCTTGCGGGAATTAGACTCATCTCCATCGACTGATTCACCTCCACCAGTTACACCACTTCCCTCTGAACTGTCAGAGTCCGAGGAGTTTTTTCTTTTTCTAGACCTGAAAGTTGAAGTTCGAATCAGAATCAAAGTTCCATCGGACCTGAACATATTTTTAGAGAAACTGATGCCGTCCATAGAGGAGCGCGATGACGTTTCGGAATCGGGCATCGATGCTGAAAATTTAACGATAAGAAGCATTTATCATATAGGCAAGTTTACTATTTAAACCTTCAGGACGGGGAAAAAATGAGTAAGAATTTGACGGAGACGCCTGATTGATAGACAAAAATCTAGAAAAAAAGGAAAAACAATGAAAAGAACTTCTCAGAAAATGCTTACGGAGATTGGCGACTGTTTGGACCCATATCAGTCGGTTCTTGTTCACTGAGAACCGAACAGTTTGATGGAGCAGGACTGCATCCCACCGATGCGCCTTCCTTATCCAGCAGAGCTTAAGGTTATCAGGTAAATTAAACATGTGATAAAAACATACCTGAATGTTCAGATATAGAAGGCGAAGGTGCGGTAGGGAATATTGTTGCAGACGATGAAGTTCCAGCACAAAAACTATTTTCTTTGGACATCTCAGTCATCTTATTGTACAAACGTCAAATCATGATTTATACCTGAACGAAAGCAATATAGTAATGAAGATCGAACGTGTTTGAGTACAATAAACAAGGGCAAAGTCACTCACGATTGACAAAGTTTAGTTTCAAGAAAAGTACACATGTATAGTTCATAATGGACTACATTTACTAACTGTTTTTTGCTTATCAACGACTTCATCCTAGCGATTACTTTTTGTATGAAATAGCAAAGGAAAGGAAAGGTCATGACACGATCATCGAAGTGAGTTTTCTCTTTACAAAGGCTCACCAGGCGTGTAATGGATTGAACCGCGCTCCAATCAAACAATCAGTCAGTGTAGTTTGCTCGACTTTGAACAAAATGGGAAAGCCACAAGCATACGCTGTTGCGTTCAATATGTTCAGTCAATGATGAAACTTTAATGCCTAATATGGAGATATGACTGGAAATCATAGGTTGAAGAGGTGTTTATCACGAAAAACGAAAATGGTGAGTATCGTCATCATATAACTCAGAAATTCGAGTAGTAGTAGGAGGGGCTTTTCTAATGGACGAACAAGATTACTGGACGTATTTGGTTAAAATTTCATTAAATCAAAAACCAGGATGGATATTGGTTATCAATACGATAGCTAATTAGAAGGAGGAACAATGAGTTCGATATTCGTAGTTATGAAACCACAAACTCTCTAACGAAGTCGTAAGAACAACAGGAGGTGGGTTCCGGCATAAAACGGGAGGAAGAATCAGCAATTCAACTTGGAAGAAAGTTAAAGCTCATTGATATTTTGTTTTTATGATTCCTTTCTTCTATTTGCTCTAATGCTATTTCTATCTACAGCCCCCTTCATTGCATCGGTGCACCTTTATACAAACGACGTCCGAACCCCGTCGCTGCCAGCAACATGACGGACAAGCCTGGCAAATAGCTGTCAGGTACTTATACGCATTTGACTTATAAGGACTTAATCGGCTTGAAAAGGCTTTCAATATTTTCCCTTCACATATTGAAGTGAGGCAGTTTTAACATCTACAAATCGGGCAAGGTTTCGGTCAGTTTTCTTTCAATATCTTATAAATTGTTTTTTGAAGAGAAATAATGTCTTTAGCGATAAGGAAAAAAATAAAAAGAGATGGTCTTTAGTCCTCGTAGATTGCATTCAGAAAGATAATAGACTGTCGCATTGTCTCTGTTTCTCTCTTTTCCATGTCGGCGAGTTTGAAAGTTGATAGCAATAGACACATACAGCCATGAATATATATATATATATATATACATATTTATATATATTTACGCTGATGAATTTTTCGTAATGAAATAGTTTAAACAGCTGATGATATACAATTTCTCAGAATTCATATGCCCCCATGCATTATTTTAGAAAGCTTATTGCTATAAAAACTGGATCACACACACACAGACATATACACAGACATATACACTCGAAATCAATCTCTATTTGTTGCTGTTGCTGCTGTTGGAGTAGACGAACATACACTTCACCGTTAAAGGAATGGGAACTTTCACGTTTCAGTTTGACAAATAGTAATATCAATTCTTTTTTCATCTCCCCGTCGTCCCAGGGGCTATCACGACCCTCCGTCTTTGTGAATTCTGCCTCTCACTATGTTAGGCTATCTCTTCATCCTCAATTCAATAAGTCTTTCCATAGCTGACTCCCAGGCAAAACTGAAAATGCCTTAGGCCATGATTTATGCACCAGAAGGCATCCGTTTTGCTTAATCTTCTAGAAACTATTTAATCCTCATGTTGTCTAAGTCGTTTTAAAGTTGTTAAATAGAAAACCAAGTCAGTTTTCAATTTACGAAACTCTTCTCTAATTCGCAACAATTTGTCCCCTCATTTCGATATGGATTGCTATAATTCAATATATCTTAACTGCTCAATGTCATAATAATGTCTTTCATATGCCTTCCTGGCAATTTAAGACGCGGCAGTTAGAACATATTGACAAAAACTTCAATTTCAGGCAATTTGAATTGTAGTAAAGGCACTTCTCCATAAATTTTTGATTTCAACATTCTCATAGAAGATCATTGACGTTTGCATTCTTTCGCTTTCGCTATAAGTAGTCTAAGCTTCAACCGCTACTTTTACTTCCGTATCTCTCTCTTGCACTTTCATTATAATAGGTCCAGACCTATTGTCTTTAATTCTCAAAAAATAAAAGAAAATTTGAGAATGGCTGTCTAGTGAACCAAAAAACGTCTTGTGCTTTTTGCTCAAGCATGAAGACCAAGTTCGCAGGCTGAGAAAATTTTCAAACAAATGTCAAACATAACTTCCACTATTAGCTTGTTGTTTTAGATTGCATATGGCCCATAGCTACTAGAAAAACCAAAAAACACTTTCAATCTGACAAGTGAGTAGAGGACAAATCACAACAAACACAAGCGAAACGTTCGTATTCCTTTTGATAAACAGTGTTTCTACACGAACTTCAGCTCTCAGAATTATTATTTGAAGTATTTCCAAAGTTCGCAACTGCGTTATTTCTCTTCTTCTCCTTTTTTTTTTTATTAACGGCAGCTAAGATTCTCTCACTATTCTATCGAAAAACAAACTAACCAACATGCAATTACCACCGAAATTTTTATATTTATATTGTATTTACTTTCACTCACTCGCTTCGTCTGTATAACTATGCCACATTCCTCTTTCACACAAAAGCTTTTCCGGAATGGAATGGATAGAGTTTTCATCACGAAAAACTACGATTTCCTTTTTCGTTTTTAGTCCAGTTAGCCTTCAACCCGCTCATAACATTTTCCGGTTGCTTAGGCTTGAAAGAATTGATCATTCATTCAGCTTGGAAAGTATCTTCATAACGTTTGTTCACTTATTCTTAGAGCAGAGATTCGAAAAGTTTACAAGACTTAGCAAACCTTTTTGAACGAGAGCAGGGGATTTATTATGCGAAAACTTCTCAAAAATGTTCGCAAACTGACTAAAATACAGTTAATCTCCGTCATTCCCCTAATAGCTCATGTCACAATTAATACATATTATGCCGAATAAACTTTAGCTCATCACAAAAAACCCAATCAACGAACGAAATGAAATTGGAACAGATTATCTTTCACATGACAAGTAAAACAGCTAATAACTAGAAAAGTGAATATCAATGCAAAAGAAACTGACAGCATTTACCATGCTTCACAAAAATATTATGATTGGCACTTCCGCAGTTTGGCGTAACCAGCAAATTGCACCAAGGAGTGCGCGAAATCGGCAAGCTATCAGGCTGCGCTCCTTAAGATTGGAGAGAAGAGAGTCACTAGCGGGGTGTGTGGACAGGGACGTGTTGAGTTCAGCTATTGGTTTGACACAGTCTACCAGTACCGTAATCGTTTAACATCATTCCACATTTGATCGTTCGATTGAAAGTTTTGGAGATTAAAGAACTAGATGCATTTAACGAAAATCGTGAACTCCAAAGAATATGAAAATTGCAAATTGTCCATAAAAAATTATGCAAAAAGAGTTTAAGAAGAGAAGTGGACATGACGAATATCCGAGTGAGCTAGTTACTAAGTTTATTCAATTCAAAGTTCTCGTTCTATTTTTTTTTGCAAAAGTTCATACTGTCCGCATGAACTGGTTTTTTCCGTCCATGCAATTCTATTCTTTTATCAAAATGTTATAGATAGCGGATGCGCTTTCCGTTATTGATATTTTCAATGGCAATGGACTCCGCGATAACAGGAACCGTCGAGCCGTCTTTTGAAAAACTCAAAACGATATTTCGGTAAGTGATTTGTTCGAAATGATTTCGTTTCTTTTTTCCTTGTTGTAAGAATACTACTTGACTGATTATTCGAATTTTTGGCTAACATTGAGCAGCAAGAGGTAGTATTTACACAAGAATTCTTAGAAAAACGTTGAGAAAAAGGGATTTTTTTGTTCTTCTAAACTGCTCATCTCTCTTTTTTTGTTACAGGGAAAACTTTGAAAAGGGGCTGGAGAAAGCAGGGGCGTCTTTTGCCGTTTATCATCATGGAAAACTAGTTGTGGATCTGTTTGGTGGCTATGCTAATGAGAACATTGGCCAATTTTGGACAGAACATTCGATGTCAGTTCTATTTTCCACCACCAAGGTTAGCCCTATACAGTCTTTTCTTCAAAAAATGTGATGAACAACAAGAAAATAAGAATGAAAAAAGGAAAAGAAAAGTAAAAAAGGGCCAACAACTCAAATGAAATATAGACTTTTCTATTTAGTACAGACTAAACAATCTAATTAGCCAATAAATGCAGCTATCAACCATTGATAGTATAGTTCGAAGCCAGAAATTTGTTGTAAATCAAAAATCATAGTTCGAATCAATATATAAATCGTGAAAATGCATGTACGATTGAGCAAAGTAAACTTTCGTGAACTTTTCCGTTGAGAGAGAGAGAGAGAGAGAGAGAGAGATATAGATGGAGAGAGAGAGAGAGAAACGAAGAAAACCTTTCAATAATTAGCGAAATAATGAATAGAGATAGATAGAGATGAGAAATGCAAGGGAGTAGAGACAATAGAATTGAAAAGGAAATAGCTGAGTGTAAAAGAAACAAGTTTAAAAATTTGTGAAGAGGATTAGAAGGAAGCCGAAGAACAGAGAAATTATAGAACACCGTCGTATAAAAATATAACATATGCTATGTGGTCTTCTCGAAAGTACTGATTGAAAGCTAAATGAAAACTCGATCTACTTTGAAAGAGTTTTTGATCCACACGAACATGTGAACAGTTGTAAGATTGTTTAATGATCATCATAAAACGATAGATTCAAAGACAACATTTGTAGCATAAGTCTTTAGAAACTAATCTTGTTCTTGAAAACCGAAAAGGATGGACAGTTGAGTTCAAAAAACTGAGTGATTATATATGAAGATGACTGCTAGTAATATTCGCGACATAATGAATGATTAGAGTTCACAACAACACAAAATGTAAAGGTGAGCTGGCACCAGTCGTGAAATACGAAAACTAAAACGACAGAAAGCACTATGATTCAATGAAATGGCTATTGCGTGGTGAGGAAGATGGACAGGGGGTAAGAAAAGATACAAACGAATAGCAGTCGCAACAGAATGAGATAAAGAGGAGACAATAACTCAAAACTGTATCTTTTCACCCGACTTTCAAGTGTGGTGAGGCTTCTCACCACAGTCTTGATTGAGAATGCGAAGTAAGCGAACGATAATATTGGACAATAATTGTTTTTCACCAGTCATCCTTGCGCTCTCTTCTTGAAAGTTGTTCTTCCTATCTTTTATTTTCTCATTCATTTTCGCTATCTTAGACTTAATACATACACACTCTCTCACACAATTCTTTTTTCAATTTTTCAACAAACTCAGAATACTAGCTAGTACTAGCTTGTTGTCTGAGTTAGTAACGTGTTGTTCTACAGAGTCAGCAATGAGTGAAATCGCAAAATGAGAAGATCAAAGTTGCAGTCAATTTTTTAATAAACTAGAAATAGTATTGCAAGAAATTATAAGTTATCACGAATGCAGCAAACATAGGCCAGTTAAGCCAAATTCTTAAAGCATACTAGTAACTGCGGCATCAATCAATCTATCAAACTAGAAAATGTGAAACAACGCGTAGCCTCGTACTATTTTAGGCGATAACAATTTGATATAATATTGAAAAAATTGAACTTACAAAAATTGTCGAAAGTTGTTTGAGTGCCCTAGGAACCAACCGTTCACATAAGAATTGAAAGCAAAAATGAAGTAGCTAGGTAAACAGACGCTGTAATGACGTATGCTAATTTGAACGCGCGCAGATTACATGTAGATTTAATAGGTTCAAATTTGAATTGGCTTTCAATTAACAACGTTTCAGAGTATATCAGCCACTATATTAGCATTCGTGTTAGATAAGGAAAAAATTGGATATGATGAGAAGGTTTCAAAATTTTGGCCAGAATTTGCAAAGAATGGCAAAGAAGACATAACCATCTCGCAGGTTGTTCTCCATCAAGTAAGATAAAAATAATTCGAAAAGAAGATAATTCAATTTAATTAAGGCCGGCCTACCATACACAGACAAAGTCATCAGCCGAAACGATGCTGCAGATTGGAAAAAAATGAGTGAATATTTTGAGAATGCTCAGCCTGTTTGGGCTCCCGGCAAAATGACAGGGTATCATGCTCTAACAATAGGGTAAATCTCATAACAACTAACTATCAAATATTATTATTCGTTGGAGATTTTTAATTGACCAAATCGTTCGCCGAATTGATCCAGCACATCGTGGTATTTTGACAATATTCCAAGAAGATTTTCGAGACAAATATAGTATGTTAATCTTATAAGAAATGAAAAAAAGAATGGGTTAATCAGATATAACTGATTTGATGATTGGATTAGAGAGAAAATGCCAAAATAATCGAGTGGCTCTTATAAGACAACCAACGGAAGATGACATGAAAGAGGAAGGCGAGCGCAATCCGATAGCTCTGAAGTCGGTAGAGATTCGCGTTAACGTTAGAGAATATCAATATTACAGACGATATTTCGCTTACAACAAAGTCCATCACAAAAATCTATATAACACTTGGCCATGGATCACAACAGAAGATGTTATTCCTTAATATGTTATTTATGCTCAAGTTTATATTTTAAGTACAATGACTTGGAAAATCGACTCGTGCCTATGCCTTCCAACATGGGGATTGGAACTGCTCGGGGACTAGCACAATTTCACACGCTATTAGCTGAGAAAAAGATCTTATCGAAGGAATTCTATGAACGAAATCTCCAAGTACCAGTTTTAGAGGAAGAGATGGATGTTGTAAATGGATATTCGGAAAGCAAAGGTTGTGGCTTCCAGTTCACGAAAAATCCTTTTGTAAGTTTATAAATTTCGAAAACCCCCTTCAAGAAAACCTTAGGGAGATTGGATATTCGGTCATTCTGGATTTGGAGGTCAGAACGTGCGTGTGGATACAATCAATGGACTATCGTATGCTTACATTACTAACGGCCTGAAAATCGCCGATGCTGATCAAGTAGAGCCATGGCACCGTCTAGTTGAAGAGTTATATCGAATCATAGGGACGAATTGAACCTACGATCATAATCCTAGAAACTAATTTCGTATAGCTAACATACCATTTCTTAGAGTTTTATAATTCCAATTTCACGTCAGGATTGTTGTATATATTCACTGTTTGTAACTTGTTAGATGTTCTATAGAAAAGTCCAAATGAAATTGAAGAATATAAACCTGTGTGTGTGTGTGAAATTGATTAAATTAAGCCCAGACAGAACAAATTTCTACGCCAAATCTCTAGACGAGTCTTTGATGACACAGGTTAAGATGTTCAAATGTTTCTCTCGTTACGGGTGTGTCGTTGCTGGGATTCGGACTTACATGAGATATATCTGTCGGGAAAATTGAGTCATATGATGACTGTACACTATCGTTACGTGATTACCAAACATCCAGACCGGTTCTTTTCTTTCTCCGTCTTTAGGTGGTACACTAATTTCAACTCAGGATCGATTCATCTCTGTAATTTTCAAATTAGTACGTCTAGCCTCTTATCTCTTTCGGAATTTACTTATTCAGCTAAAATCGGACGAGCTTAAAATAATTTTCAACAAACAAATGAAACTCGTCCAGTGATTGTAAGTTTTTACAATACTTTGACTTCGATGATGCTGGTTTTGATTGTCGCTTCTCGTTCTCTCTGAATTCTTCTCTTGTCAAACCCGTCACCGACGGGTTATATTGATAATCTAGCCTCCAAATCCCAATCCATTTGTAATTTCCATCTTCCTCTTTTTCTAAGAGGACATTAGATTGCCCGTGCAATGATTCGGTCGTTCTCGCCCAAGTATTATGTGTATAATGCCTTTCAATTTCAACTCCGCGTAGTATTGAGAATCGGTCATCTCGACAACTTGTCTTTGGTTTCGCGACTCTTTAAGTAATATGTTAGGAAAACAAGTTGTTTCTTCCGATGAACATCCAATATAAGATTTTTCGCTGAAATGTGACTTATTGAGAAATACATCGACTATCCGATAGTTCTTCATACCGACTCTTGTCCTTCTCCATCATTGTATCATGTAATAGCACATGTGACTACAAGACCACGTAGGAAAAGAAACAAACTTGTATTTGGGTTAGACTCAAAGTTTTCATTGCTTCTAAAGAGAGAGAGAGGATGAAAGCGCTTGGCTTCTGGAAATGAAATTGTTCTCACCATTTTCAAGGCATTCTTGAACATCTTTACTGTTTTCTTTAATTGTTATACTCGTAGTATAGCTGCGTCCACTCGCAGCAGGGAGTGACGTTTCCTCCTTCTACATTGAAACGTTATAGTTGACTGTTTGTTCAGTCACACTTACTATTTCTCACTTCTCGTAGAATTCACTTCATCCCAAATTTAGTTTTTCCCTCGATCCAAGAATGCATCGATCAATCGGTTAGTTCGCCTCTAGTATCAAACTTCAGTTACTCTTTGTTGTATCTCACTTAAGACGCAGATGTTTGTGATGTTGAAATCGTTTCAGCATTCACGATGACACTACCTGTATCAATGGAAGATACTGAGCTTTTTCCAAAGGACGAATTCTTGAACACAATTCCTGGGAAGATTCCCCTAAAAGTGGAAGTCATACAACAGGTTTGAATAATTGAACAAACAGACCTTACATTTCCACAGATGAGAAGCACTTTATCTCGACTATGGTGGTCTCGATTAGTCATTGCTGTTCGTGGTTATGTCATCAACTATGTGCAGGTTGAAGATTCAGCTTTGTTCCACTGTGATGATGCGTTCACTGCAATTCATAGAACACTAGCAGAAGAGGAATGCGATTACGAAAGAGCCGATGTGGTAGGCAAAAATTAAAAAAATTAATAAAAATTAGTAAAAATTAGTAAAATTAGCAAAAATCTACGTAGCATGCTCGTGTCATTTAATATTTTTTTTTCCATTCATAGTTATCAGTATGTGAGAGCCGGTTGCACGCCAAAAAATAATCTTTCTCAACTCCCGATTATCGATTTTTGTGATATCATAGCTCGTGGAAGTTATTTCTTCTTTTACAGTTTTTGTCGGATTTAAATGTTATCCTTCAAGTACCTCTGATTTCCGAAATACTACTTGCTTTATCATCTGGAAGGGAAGTCGAAAATCCTTTTCTTAATCCGAAAACCAAAGATGCTTTTCAACGTATATTTGGTTTTCCGAACGTGATGACCTACAAAGTAGCAGAAGGTTGGCTGATACTAACTTTTGAAATGAAACTTCCTTTCTTTTGAGGGCAGAAATGTGCCTTCATTGTATTTATGCGAGTGCTGTGTATTCTACAAGAGAGATGGATAGCAGAGAAAGCAAAGAAGAAAGGAATAAGATTTGAAACTGACCCGGAATGGCAACCGGATGATAGAGTAGTTTTATTTCAACATTTCTTCCAAGGTAACAGCATCAAAAGAGAATATTTGATCATCATGTTCAACTCTAGGTAACCGAACATGGGTCTTGTTAGATTTCGACAGATACATCTTATCCCAGTGGAGACCCAAAGGAGCATCTATCATCTTCGGTGACAGTTTTGTGGCTAAGAAACAACGACTGGGAATGAAACTGTGTACTTATTGTGGAATGATAGAACAGAAAGTAAGACAATAATAGATATGCTTGCATTAGATTTGTTAAGGTTGACCAATTCCCAGAACAGGATAAGAAACCTTTCTGTTCACCTGAATGTTTGGAAGCAGTCTACGGACAACTCGGGCCTACCACAATAAAGATCTGAATTACATTATATTTTAATAAATGAAAGAATGTGACATTTCAAGTAACAAAGCTGAAAAACCTTGTTTAGTCATAGTTGTATGGGTATGTTCAATATTGAAAACTGACAACCGAAATAAAAAAAATCTTTTTTTTGACCAGAAACTTATTATGAAATGGTGAAGATGGGAATTGCAGGCACAATCTGAACATTGAACTTTCAATTGAACAGTTCACAACTTTTATTCTCACCTATCGGACTTCTATTAATAGTCATATTATCTATTCTCTCCTAAAACTTGACAGCCATTACCCTTTTATGGTAAGCGGATGTACAAGACTTCAAGGGAGTTGGTAGCATATGAACCAGTTGTTTTTGGACAATCATCTTTACTGTTGATTTATTACCTTTATATAAAGATCAGTTAAGATTCCATAGCCTTAATGGGACAACCTCGTTATGCGCAGAAGCTTCATTTTTGAAGTTTCCTTTGTCTTCACCCCTTTCACCTCTGCCCGGCCCACATGATTTACTGCAAATTGAAATGGTCTTGTAACGATCTGCACTTTTCCGAACCTCATTTGCCTGTTAATTGTTCTGCCGGAAGTTATTCAATTCTGCATATTCATCTTTTTGATCTTTCCAATGTTTATCTCAATTGTTTTATTTCCAATCTGACAAAAGATGTGCTAGAAATTTCGATGTTTCTCACGCCCTGAGGGCTTTTTATTGCCATGTTATGGTTATCAGTTGGTTGAGAGAGTTTCGATGTCACTTTTGCAACTGAAAATGTCGTTTTGTTCCCATCCGCGAATAGTCAGTACCGCACATCATAGATTTTCTTTCTTTCTGTTTGTAATCCGCTGTTGTTCTTCTCTTTACGTATATTTCGTGTGCATTGTACAGTTCTCACAAAAACCATATTTCTCGTTCCCTCTATAAACGGTAGGAATTCGAAGCCTCTCTGTCTCTCTGCTATGCGTTTATCACATTCTGATTAGTTGTTGATATCAAACTCATTATTGAATTGGATTATATCGCTAATTCAATGAAGAACATCAAATAATTTCATAATCATTCAAAAACCCATTAACTTCCTAATATATTTGTTCGTTTTCAACATTTTCAACTTATGACCCACCCATCACTTTTTTCTGAAGTTGCAAACAAATATGAATTAATCTGTCCACGTCTGAAGTCACGTCATTTCTAGACTGATTTTCTTGTGAAGCGGTTGTAGTCAACACTCGCTTCTTTTTTTAACTGCTAACACCTACTAATTCTATTACTAACTCATCCCCAAAAGGTAGTTTTTATAGATTTCCATTCATTTTGTTTATCAGTAGTCTACACAAATAGATTTGTCAACACAACACACTTTTCAGTTCCGACAATGGGTAAGCGCAAAGTAAAACGAAATGGAGTTCGAAGGAAACAAAATGACAGCGTAGCTTTCTATCTTTTTAAATCAAACTTCTTTTTTATATGTAGAAATCAAATACACCTACGACACAAAACCTTTCAACAGATGTCGCTTTGATTCCTGCTCCATCGTCTCCGCATGCCCCGTCTGGATCAAAGTGTAAGTTGTATGATGTCGGATCGTGATCCTCTTCATCTTATTTATAGTGGTTCAAACCATTAAAAGAGGAGTTGATGTGGTTATGGGCCATTTTATTCATAAAAAAGGAACATCTGACAGCTTTTTCGATAGAGATTATGGGGTTTACTTCTTTTGTCTTTTCGCGAAGATTCATTACCCCCATTTTAGAGTCCCGCAAGTTCGTATCGAACAGCAAACGCCTTGTCACCAACGAATACTGAACTGTCACAAAGTTTTTATAGTAATAAAAGCAAATCTGCAAGAAAGAGATTGAGAAGAAAGCTTAAAAAGTTAGAAACCGATGGAACTAATGGGGTTGGTTCTCCCAAAATAATAGAAAAGCTGACCACTAAGCGTTCAGAGGTTGATCACATGCCGCAAAGTGCCATTTAGAAATGTTGATTTGTATTCATGCTCGCCTCTCATAGACAATCAGAACGATGAAAACCAAGATATGAACACACCTGTAATTTCAAAACTTGAGATACACTCTTCATAACCACACTTATAGATGCCACCTAATTTCAATAGTTTCATACAGGAACTTGGGAAAGAAGAAAGCGATGATGAGCTCAGAGCTGAAACTATGCGTCTTATCAATGATATGATTGAGTCACAGGTTAAATATATGGACAGGACTGGTTTTCGAAGGGATATCGTTGGTACTCTTTTATCTTTACCGACGCGTATTTCATGTCCTATTAAGATGCCGGATTGGTAGAAGTACTTCAAAAAATTGATGAATCAGATTCAAATGCATGGCCTTCTTTGAAGAAACAAGTTGATCGCTTCCTAGAGACAACCATAAACGATAACATTGAAGGTACAATGACTTGTCATGGCTAATTACCGCTGAGAATTCTTAAGGACCTGCTGAGTGTACTCGTGGAGTAGTTGACTTACTTTGGGTTCTCATGTGCGAGCATAAGGATCAATATGAAGAAATAGTTGAGTTCAGCATTCAAATCAGTTCAAACTTTTTCTTTCGTAGTTTTCGTTTTTCCAAACTCTTGTGAGGATTGATGGTAAAACAACACAATTTTGGAAGTTAGCGTCTTCTATGCTTGCTAACGTTAAGAACGAACATTCTGATAACATAATGGAAGGTAGTTTCTCTCGTGAGACAAGGATATTGACAAAATTCAGAGCTACCTCGTACTCGCTTATCTCGAAGAGATAGTTTTTCACCCATGGGTATTCAAATGCTTGAGCTACCAACTAATAATAAAAACCAGACTGTTGTTGCATCCAACAGCCCTACACCTTCTGATCCTAATCATCCTCCTGTAGTAAGTACTCTCGAAGACTCTGCAGTTCAACGATCTGTTGTAGAATACTGCTACTGACGATTCGTGTATAAAAATGATTGACGACGACGAAGAGCCTGAAACTATTCGACAAAAAGAGAATGCTCCAATGCCGAAACCTAAACTAAGGCCACGGTATTAAAACACTGAATTTGAACAATATACTATTCGCTACAGGTCTTCTTCACGAAATCGGGCAAGCAAAACAGCTTTAGTCCCTCCAAATCAACGTAGTAAATCTGCAGAAAGCGATGATGACAAAGGTAATCGTCACTTTTGTTCTATCAATAGAAACAATTTCTCTTAGAAAATATACCGGATAGATCCCCTCCGTTATTTACTGAATTACCTGCTACTCGTAAGGATACTCATATTAATAAACAATCTTCAAGTAACAATCAGCGAAGAGGTAATACATTCGAGTTTTGCATCGAAAAATAGATGAATTCAGGTAGTTTACGAATTCGCGACCCTGTTTGTCCTGATGTACCGGATGAACCTTCACTCATTTCTATTAAACAAGAACGAGAGCATGTGCGGGGCATTCCTGATCAGCCGACCATCGCTTCTCTTGCTAGATCAGTGACTGGTAATCATTCGGTCAAAGAGGGACATGTATCTAGAAGACTATCTTCGAAAGCTAATCCTCTAATCGGGAAGACCGGAAAGTCTCAGTCTGCTAGCAATGTGTCATCTCCTACGTCGAAGTTACCACCAATCAGTTTTTGTGAGCCTCCAGCCCCGCCACCTCCAACAGAAATGCTTGTTAAGCCATCTGCTATAGGTTTCTTTAATTTTTTAAATTTATGTTACTCTCTCTTTTATAGTTGCTCATGCCGCTCAGCTGAACGATGCGTTCATAGATGAAGCCGAGTTATCAATGCTGAATACTGATCCTTCGAAGGAGGATGAAATCCCACGTGTAGATACTACCAGAATTCCACCTGCACCGCCACTTCCTCCACATCTCAATCATAATGTTTCCATACCCCCACCACCTCCTTTGCCTCCCCACCTTCTTTCTAGTAGTGTGCATTCTGCTCCATCTCCCCCTCCATGCTCGATTCCAGAAGCTCCTCCGCTTCCAAATTCGAATAATTTATCTGTTCCCGATCTTAAAGTGCCGCAAGCACCTCCATTACCTCCCAATTTGTTAAAAGGAGGACCTCCTCCCGCACCTCCTTTGCCAGCTAACTTAGTAGGAAGTGGAATACCACCTCCACCTCCTTTGCCTCAAAATTTATTAGCTGGTGGGCCACCACCTGCACCTCCACCACCACCAACATTATTAGGAGTTCCAAGAGCTCCTCCGTTGCCAGGCTCTTCTGGCATACCCATTGCTCCTCCACCTCCCCCGAATCTTTCTAACTCCATACCACAAGCTCCGCCATTCCCTGGCTCAAGTGGTATTCCACCTCCACCACCACTTCCGGGTTCTTTTGCTGGTAAGCCGGGATGTCCTCCTGCTCCTCCTCCACCTCCTGGAATGCTTGGTAGCAAACCGGGATGTCCACCACCACCTCCAAACTTCTTAATTCAAAAGGGTAAGCTAATACACGTCATATAATTACATGCAAATTGAAACTTTCCAGCTCAACCACCAGTGTGCCAAGAATCTTATCCAAAATCAAGAAAAACAGCTGTTCTCCGATGGGATTCTGTGCATCACAACGCAATTCAAGGTTTTTATTTTTGAACTTTTTGTGTTATTGTTAATAACAGAGTCAACAATTTGGAGCATGTACTCAAAACCGGAGTCCAATAAAGAAGAGAGAGAAGAGGTTTGTGTGAATGAATTAGTCTCTCTTTTAAACTGATAATAGATTGAAAAAGCTCTTGAGCAAGTTCCTGCAGCTGCTAGAGTCATCAGAACTCCTAAAGTAGAAAAGAAAAAGGACATTCCTCAGGGACCACAACTTGGCCAAGGTAGAGCTATGGCTTTGGAGATTTGTTTGGCAAAGTGAGTAGAACAAGCGGAACTGTATTCTACCAGTTATTCCAGAGCTCGACCTCACAATGTTCTGGGGCTGATTGAACTACTTGAATCCAACCAAGCCGATCAATTGTCCAGTGACTTGTTGACAGGCCTATCCAATGCTTATCCTCTATCTGAAGAAGTTTAAACGTTCTAAGTTTCATTAGTATTTAAATCTTTCCAGGCTGCAATGTTCAAAGACGTAGAACGATCTGTAATATCTAGGCAATGCGAAGAGCTATGCTGGGAAGTTGCCAGGAGACCTACGTTGAAATCGAGGTTAGAGTTAGCGATAGCTAAAGGAAGTATATCGGGAGAGGTTTGAACAAATTGTCATAATATTCTTACAAATTGTTTGAGATCGACGTTCACAAAGTAAACATGGAGTCTCTTCTGAAGGCTTGTGAAGGCATGCGGGACCCCATAATAAACAAAATTTTATATAAAAGCTTACAATATGGAAATTTCATCAATCAGGTATGAATATCTTGGTCAGTCTTAAGCTATCTTTTCGATTTAGGGAAGTAATATTCCGTATGCCTCTGGTTTCAAAATCAAATCTCTTCCAAACATTTTAACCTTAAAGGGAAAAGTATGTTTTCTGCCCAATGATCATCATGTTTTTCATTTTAAGGGAGATAAAAGCAGCTGGACTCTAGTTGATCATTTAGTCAAATGGTCAGACATTCCTCTAGACGAGATCGACGAAACGAAAGCCAAACTCCACTTGTTCAGGTTTTTTTGCTCAACAGTTTAGTTTCACTTAATTTCCATATCAGAGTTTGTTCAATAAGTGAAATGATATCAACGGTTGAGGAGTTGAACAAGACCGTACAAAAACTCAGAAGAATGATGGAAGGATGTAAAGATGAGGAGCTCGAGAAACATTATCAGCCTTTCTTCGCTGTGAGTTTGATGCGTTTTTTTTGTGCGGTAACAAACTACATTGAAGACTGTGGAGAAAAATGTAGAGAAACTTCTAGAAGACAGTAAAGAGCTAATCTCGTTAGAAGAACAAGTAAAGAGGTACTACTGTGCCAATAAGGCTGATAGCGTGGAAGAGTTGGGTAATGTGCTGTTCAACGCACTTACTTTGATTGGTACCGCCAGAAAAAAGGTAATGATTTGTAGCTTTTACCTGTGGTTATACAAATTGTTTCTCAGCATTTGTCAAGCAAGCATCAATCAAGTTCTGCTAAGGATTTGAAAACGCCTACGATTATGAGAGGAACACCCAAACGTCATGGGGACTCCGAGGATGCTCGAAGACTATCTTCAGCTGAACTGTGTGACCTGGTTTCTAAAGCGCAGGAATAAAACTGGTAATAAATGCATAAAATTCAGTTCGCATAAAGTATATTCTTGTCGATGATCTCTTTGCCTGTTAGTCTTGCCTATTTTACTTTATTTTATGACAAAAAGGGTTGTAGAAGGTTGTAATCATGTTTTAACTAACAGTGTCACTTTGCATTTTGAACAGTCTTATAGCCACATTAACACTTTCGATTTTTGAAGCATAATGTTCATGACTTATGTTACAACTGCATGATATTTTCCTTTTTCAATTGAATAAAAATGCTGGCTTATTCATGTTTCTCTTTTCTTGTAGTACTCTCAGTTTGGCTGTAACAAGATGTTAGAGCTGAGCACTTCCTGTCAAAAGATCGACACGCAACTACAAGGCGGACAACTAACTCATTAGTCCGGGATTCTTCAAAAGCAAATCTGTTCTAGTATTGTTATATCCAGAGTTCTCTTCATCCAAGAACTGCGATGCTGCCATGTTTGACGTCTGCTTCTAAATAATCGTATTGTAAAAAGGTATCAAGTGTTTTCCACCTGTTTTTTTAATAGACAACTTGTATGATAGAATGAAGGACTCACTGACATCTCCCACAATCCGGTCTGGAAATGTCCTGGCTCTCCTCAACACCTTGTACACATCAGGCTTTGGGATGGCCACACCCAGTGTTCCCATACTTCCAGGTATGTGCTCCTCACGACCTAATAAACAAGTACAATTTTATAGGAAGAACAATGCACACCCTCTATGCTGTTTCATTCTTGGTGTTTTTTGGAAATACGTGTACGGACTGGATGCATGTATGGGCCACTCTTCAGGTATGAACCGTCATATTCGCTGATATGAATGATTTCAGGGCCATGTCACTTCCTTCCCAGTAGAGCCGTGGTTGGCAATCGTCCTCGTTGTTATCGCCGTGTTTGATTCCATGCTGACATGGCTTTTGATAGTTGAGAACAATAATGCTTTAGTTACTATGGTTAGAGTTACAGGTGTTATGTATAGAAAATGCTTTCGCCCATCGTTTGGATATAACTCCATATCGAAGTGGTTTGGCATTGATAGTAGAGAATTTTATCGAATGGATTCAAGTAAGTGATTCTGAAAAATCTCAAAATCGAACTTCTTAAGGCTTTCAATAACTTTCGTGTTGTCTTCCTCGTTATGATTCTTCATGATGCTCCAATAACAATTGCTAACTTCTTCTTCCTCGCACCGTGTAGGTGTGCTGGACCAACGGTTAGTCGGAAGTCTTCTGCCATACTATTACTATAAATTAAGGTTGCTCCTTGGACTTTATTCCTCTCCTCTTCTATGACACTTGTATCTTTGATTTGGAGGCTCACAATGCTTCATTTTGCTTACAGGTATGATAGCCTTGCTGTCTCATTTAACATCGCCAATTTAGACGAATGCTATGCCCCTTGAGGAAATCAGCGTCAGTCGCTCTTCATCGTATGCCTACACCAGCTGAACATTTATCGATGGCAATTGACACCAGGTTAATCCAATAAATATGAATGTATAAAAACCTCTCTCTGCAGTAATGATGCGAGAATCAGTGAATTCGATGAATGTTGGCCTGTACGATGGGGTAGATTACATATTTATGGTCCTGATGAATCAGACGAAGACGATCTCTACACAAGAGTATTACTTGTAGAAAATATCTGAAAGCAATCTATCATTTCAGTGCTGTGGAACATCCAAGTTTTTTATCAGGACTGATCATCTACCTTCTATCCTCACTCTACCTGTCATCTCTCACTGTGCTACATTCGCTTTAATGGCAAGTAGAGCTTCTGAAACAAAATTTAAAGCAGATATATATTTTCAGATTGCCTATACTGTATATAGGATAGTTCAACTCATATTATGTTTTTTTATGTCAGTGTTGGGATATATCTTCTTGATTATAAGTTGTTGTGCTCCCTACTGCTATCACTATACATGCAGGAGAAATAGTTTCTTTCATCGTCACAAGTGCGCTCGTTCCTTTATACGGTAACTTTTGTATTTATTTTCTTAAAAGTAATCAAAAAACCCAGATATATCTCGTACATTTTCCATTATTGTATCTTCATAGTCTCATTATTGATTTCTTTCGGACTAATTTTCTTGAATGGTGCTCTTCTCTCGTCAGTACATGTGCTTGGATCTAACTCTTTACCTCCTGAAATAGACAGAGTAGGTCTCTTCATCGTTACTCTTACAACTATGCACGACTTAGATCTGTGTTACGATTGTTCCTTCTAACTATAGCGTTCACGTGACTGTCAGACCGGACCCGCTGTTCAAATCCGAGTCTATTCAAGAACTGATCAATAAGTATCCTCCTAATTCGTGTTAAATATATAATCCAATTCTATTAGAAACTTCCTCGTGAATGATGAGAACTCAACTACTTTCTGTAAACCATTGTATGAAGACGGAGGATTGGGCATTGGTCTCAAACGTAGAGCGGCTGGACCTTGGCAAGCTCGTCGAACTGTCCACGATCAGTTATTGGTTGACCCGGTTCATTTGTGCGGTCTTCAATATTCAGTTCTAGGCTATCACAACACAGGTGCTTCTGGTTAACCCAGGTCCCGAAGATGGTTACCTGGAACTTCTTTTCGATTTTGCTGTACTTGAACAGAAAACAGGTTATGAAACCCCTCTCTGTTTGCGGGGGAATAAAACTGAATGGTTTATTATCTCATTTACAAAGTTCATTTTATGATTCAGGGTATTAACAATTACTGAGAATCCTCTACCATTCCCCTATTTCGCCGGTTGTCGTAAAAAATGGATGTGAGTTTAGTAGTACTTACTAGTTGTATATCTCTGGCTTAGTTTCAACAAAGCTAACTTGATCGAATGTTTGGGAGAAGAGGATACTACTCAGACACCTCCAAGACCTCCTGATGGTTGGAGAAGACCTTCGTGGCTGAAGCTACGGAAGCCAAGAACGACAACGACATCTATTTATGATCAATTCTAAACTGGGAAGCTTCCAAGTATGGATATAGGAAGGAATCTTTCCTGATAAGAAATTTTACTGTTATGTAAAGCCATAGTACATTCAGAATATATGAGTTTGATTTCCGAGAATCGTTTATAATATGAAGCGCAGAGATTAGAACATGATAGCTTAAGACAAGTCCCATATGCGAAGTTTTGTTGAAGATTTCTAAAACACTTTATCGTATAAAACGCCAAGGTATGATCTCTTTCGTCTTTTCAAAACTCCGTAGTTGGACGCTGAAGCAGAGGAAGATCCTTTGGAGTTTGATGTTGCTCTTTGATAATTGGATAATGTTTGTTCGCCTGAAAATACTCAGTTACAAACTACTATGGGTACTCTTACCGTTATTGTCGGTCACAACAGAGATAGAGTGAACACTTGTCTTATCTCCTGAAGCAGAAACTGCACCGTTCACACTGGCATCTGTTACACGAATACAAGATTAGTTTCTTGCTGATAGCTTTTTGAAACTTCGTTTTTGATCTCCTTCTCCTAGCTCTAAAGCGGTGTTTGTCTGTGCGCTGCTGTTACCAGCTCCTCCACCTCTTGCCTCCATCATAGCATTTCCTGTGTAGTTTGTGAGATCGATACAATTTGTTGAACGTACCATTAGCTCCAACGTTATCTACATTCAAGAATGCTACTCCTGTTAGGTTATTGTATTCTCCATGAACTATTCCACTTGCATTCGCATACCCAGCTATAAAGAGTAAGCTTATTAACCGCGAGCCAGGTTGAGATACTATTGTTAAGGCCATTCGAGTTTGATACATCCGCATTCGCGCCTATGTTCAATGTAGAGTTTTTATCGTTAGATACTGCTTGGCCTTCTCCTTTAGCAATGATCCTGAAAAGTTTTAACGATGTTTCAGTGTCGTATGCAATAGTTCAGAGAAAATTCTATTCATGAAGCGTTTTCATTTCTGCTGTTCAAAAAAGCGGAGCGGTCGTCTCCAGTACATAAGTTTTGTAATTTTTTTCTCATTACCTCGGGTCCCCGTTTTGATTGTATGATGTGTCCACTATGATTGATGCATTTGAGTTTTCGGTACCAGATCCATGTATGGCACCATTACCAATAGCAACTGAGTTTCAAGATTGTATAGTTTCAACACACGCAAACCTACGCGTCTCTCCATTAGTATCTTTCACTTTTAATCCATTCTGTACTGTCATGGCGTGATCTGCACTGTTGGAAGTACCATTTGTTAAAACATGACCATTGGCTCCTTTCTGTGAGTTGAAAAGTTTGAGAACTGAAGTGCTTTCTAACCTTGTTGTCCAAATCAGTTTCGGACATCATGTCAATTTTATTCGATCCACTAGATGCAATATTTGAGTCCGAGAAAGAACTGATACCTATTGCAGCGCTACTTATTTTCCGTAGTATGAAGACAACCTACTGGAGTTTGTCGTAGTGTTGCTGTTCAGATGAGTTGCTCCAACTAGGGAGCTGTTACCCCCATCGCCCTTCACTTGACCATACATATTTCCAACAAGGTCATGCTTATCTCCGTCCATGTTAGCATTACCGTTTACTTGAGAATTCACATTTCCTCCATTTGTTTGAACTCCAGAAACAACTCCATTCATTTCCACACCTAAACAGCTTTCATTTCTTCTTCTTTCTTGTTGTATTATTGTACCATTGTTAGCGTTCCCTGCACCCAAGTCAACGTTCGCTTGTGCGTTGCCAATACCCTCGGCAACAGCTGAGCCAACCAGTTTTGCTAGTAGAGAGTCCCAGGTGAGAACCTAATGAAACTTTATCGTAGATTGGAATTGAACTTTAGAATGGCTCTGTTCGTACTTGATTAGACATCACTTCAGATTGGGATCCTTGTGATCCGGTCGCCCCCGCAGTCGCGATGGTTTTGTCACTACCTTAATGAAAAGTTGTGAAAAATAGTTGCACAAGTTCAATTTGATAGTTTCCTCAAGAAAAAATTTGAAAGCATACTGAGTGGACTTGGGTTCCCGTTTGTTTCCATTGTTGCTTGTCCCGTTGCTTGAGCCGATGTATCGCCAAGACCGCTACCTCGACCCTGTGTATCAAAACATTATTTCCAGTTCCAATCGAATCAGATTTACTTGTTGGAAACTAGCTATTGTCTTATTCTCTCCAGCTACTACAGCAAAAATATCAGAATACGACATTGAATCTTTTCCTTTGGAGTCTACGTTTCCAGTTGCAGACATGCCTATATGTGAATCTTATAAATGAGATCTTAACGATGTTACAACTTGTGTCTCCCACTCTTCCTTCGGCATTGTTTTCAATAGATGCTGAGTTCGCACCGGTAGCATTACCAGCTGAGGATACATTCATACCAACTACACCATCGGCGTTCTGAACAACATTTTATTTCCAATGATTTGAAAGAAACAACCTTGTAATGATGAGACATCGCACTTGATTCAACATCATCAGCTACTCCGTTAGTCTCTGCGTTAGTTGAAACAACTGCAAGCACTTTTAGCTCAAAATAGAGAATTTCGCTTACTTGTTTGCCTTTTATATCTTTTGTGATCAAATATCGAAGCATCAGCCGTGATACAAATAGCAAGTATGACGCATATCAGCCAAGAGGCCATGCCTGTTGGAAAAATGGTAGTTTGATGAGTTTCGTATAAGGAAGAGGAAGTCAGATAATGCGGCAAGAAGTTACTGGTGACAATCAAGATATAGTTCCTGAGAAGAATTAAGTTAAGATATGAAATATTTTAACAATGATGGAGACAATGAAGGAGATATAAATATAGACAATAGGTCTACAGGACAGTTTTTGATTGATAATAAAACATATCGACAAACGTTGAGTTCGATTTGGTTGTGTTTGAGAGAACTTCGTATGCCCAATTAGTAACGAATTACTGTACATATGGGTTGGATATGGCATTTGTCCCGATAGACGGATTAAAAGTTTTCAGGCTATGTTCAGCAAACCCAGTTTAAACAGAAGATAAGTTCCTATTCAAAACGGATTAGTAAGATCGGAGAGCATCTATGCCTGCAGTCATGTAAATGCAATGATAACTCATTCAATTAGGCAGATGTCTCTCGAAAAAAACTCGAGAACAAAGATTATGTAAGAAGGGTTATAGACATTTTTTTTCTTCTCTTAGACTGACAGAATTCCGTGAGAGACGTGAAGTTCACGTGGATTACGTGTGCTCTCATTTAAAACTCGGATTTAATTGAGCGCGGTCGAACTCTTTCTATGACGTATATGTTCCTTTCTTATCATTTCACTTCAGATAACCTCTCCTCAGTCTAAGAGGATTCAATATTATAGTTTTCCTAGAAAATATATTTCCAGTGAGTTCCATCTTAGTAATTACTAAGTATAATTATTTTCCGACAGCTCCAAATGACGGTTTACTCTGGATATACTTTATAGTGTTTTTTGATCTATAAAGGTCTGTTTGATCTTTACATTTCAATCTATTTTTAGGGAACAGAAGGAGATCCTCTCTTAGTTCCCTACTTCTTTACCATTTTAAAGCATAAAAACCCTTTATAAAATGTATTGTAACGCCATGATGTTGAATTTTTGATTTACAGACAAGAATGATTGATTCTAACTTAAACTCCCTGACGGTTGGTCCCGATAAAGAGGATGATTCTCCTCAGAAGGCAGATAAAAGAAAGCGCCATCGAAGGAGCAAAAAACCTAAAGCTCAAACAGCTGAGTTAGGCTCTGAGAAAGTGAATCCACCCAATCACAGATAAAATTTAACATAACTTTGTTTTAGGAAACACTTTGTGATGCTGAAGTAGTGGAACCAATTAAAACTTCGGATAACGAAGTGACGGCACCAAAGAGAAGAAAGGTTGTTTAGGATGAACCACCTGGGTAATCGAAGGATCTTCAGAATAGAAGAAAGAAGGGATCTGGTGCCGGTTTAGCTTCAGTTGGATCTGCTGAAGAAAAAACTGAGGTAGTAGCGGATGACAGGTAAATTGTTTAGTTAGAATTTTTCTCTGAGTTTTGAAAATTGTAGTAAGCCTAAGAAAAGAAATCGTGCTAAGAAGAATAAAAATAAGGAAAAAGTTAATATCACAGGAAAACATATTCCGGTCAGTAAAAAATTTATTTATTTGCATGTATTTTTGTCATTTCAGGTCAGTTCGTTATTCGAAAGGCCCGAAAACAATAACATGTTTGGCAATGCTTCCTTGAGCGCAGAGGGACTAGCTCTGTTAGAAGATATACAGAATCATCGATCTGGAAAAACCAAGGTATTTTTTTATTAGCGAGGTTGTGTTATATATCTGATCCAAGTTACGAACTGGTAAGATTGAGATGAGCGAGCTAATGGGTACGAACCGTAGTTCTTCTCGATCTGTTCGCTCTATTTTGGAGCAACTAAGTGGCACTAAGGTTGATCCCGAAGTTCTTCTTGGTTCTTCTCGAGTTCCTCTACTTGCTGGATTCCCATCCTTAGGTTAATTTTTCATAGATAATTTATTTCATCTTTATCATTTAGCTCATCGTGGAGACTCTTTCTCGTCTGCTCTTCCAGCTGATTTGTTCAAATCAACAATGGATGCTTACGCTTCTCTTCATGGTGATATGCACTCTTTAGGTTAGATTATATATACAAGATTCATAGATAGTTTTTTTTATTTAGGAAGTAGACCTATTTCACGTTCATCTGTTAGGTCTAATCCAAGAAGTTATGGAAATGAAGCTGTTTCCCCTAATCACATTATGCCATGGATTAATTTCGCTCCCATGTATCCCCTGGACAATAGACAGCACAAAGGAGAACACAGGTCACCGGGTAAGCTACATGCAATTATGTGCAACTTGGCGTCGCGACGAAAACGTGTTGGGACGCCAGATTGTGAAAGTGCGACCAGTAACGCGCAATACTTTTAAGGATATCAACGACCCCAAGGAATGGGTGGACACTCTGTAAATGCTGGAGGTTCTGGATCTAATAGATCTAACCATGGACCTTCTCATAATAATCAACGAGGATCCTACCACAACTCGTATCCTAACAGGATGAATAGTAATAAGTAAGCGTTTGTATAGATTTTTTGCCTCATCATGATGATTATAGCTCTAGCCCTCACCACAATCGATCTTCTCCCGGTCGTTTCCAACAAACGCCTAACAAGCCTGGAAACCACAATCAGCGAATTAGAAAGTCACACTTCACTCCCTATTTGAGTGGAGAGCTTGTATCTCGAGGATTAGTGAAAAAGGAACTGATCAAGGTGCAATTAGCCTTTTACGTTCGCTCATTCGATTTTCATTTATTTAGGGTGCTTTAAGAGTTAATCAACGAAATTATGAAGAATCTTACATTGATAATCCTGATGGTGATGATCAGATGGATCTTCTTATTCTCGGCTTACAAGATCGCAACAGAGCTCTGCATGGCGACATCGTTGTTGTCAAAATCAAACCTAGACAATTCTGGGTCGTAAGTGTTTTTTTTTTGTTTAAGAGTTTATTCCTTGTGCTCAGGTCCGCGAAAATCTATACCAGGCATGGAGATCTGGTCAACTAGATGTATCTAGAGATGATAATGGTCTTCCGTTGACTATCCCTCCTGTTCAAGAAGATGACACTACTGATTCTGTTGATGTATGTTTCTCCACAGCTTCCGAGGTGTTAACTTTTTTTTAGCTCGTTCTTGGAGGCATTTCTGATCTCAAGCTGTCAAAGTCTGATTTAAAGGCATCTATTCCCGTGTCTCCTGAAAATAAGTACAACAGAGAAGAAATGGTTCTCATCGGAGCTCAATTAGAGCATGCTCGTAGAGAATCTCCAGTGGCTGAGCAGAATCCACTCTGCAAGCCTCAACCAGTTGTTCAAGTTAGTTTCCTTTTTTTAAAATAGTTATGTTTCTCATTTAAGGAAATGATAACTAACCTCTCTATCGGAAGAGTAGCCGATGTTCCATTGAGTAGCTCACCAAGAAAGCCAGCTTCTTCCCGAAAACCAGCTAACTCCGTTAACCGCCGCACACAATGCAGAATGCTTCAAGATATGCCACCAGAGGATTGGGGAATGCCCGATTTCTGTTTGCAGAAAACTGCCGAGGTTTTTCCACCAGGTTTATCCTCTGGCTCATCATGCAATATTTTAGGTTGTATTCATTTCGGAAGTCAAGAACTCGAGAAATGCCATGGGACAATTGAGAGTCATGGCCGACAACAACAGAAACTGTGCTCTTTTCTCACCTACCGATCCTCGTATACCACGAATGATGATTCCTGCTGCTCAACTTCCTCAGGATTTCTTCGAGCGTCCCCAGGTTTCTTATTGTTTTTGTTATTTTTCATCTTCTATCTTTTGTAGGATTATTCTAAGTATATTTTTGCTGTCAAGCTTGAGAAATGGGAAGAAACTGATTTGTTCGCTACTGGTCATCTTCTCCGAACATTAGGAGTTGCAGGAGATATAGAAGCAGAAACTGAGGGTCTTCTCTATCAAAAAAATATTGATGCGAGAGAGTTCTCTAGTGCAGCTCTCAGCAGTTTGCCAATTACAGAAGCAAGTCAATGGACTATTCCAGAGGTTTCTTTTCTTCAGAAAACGTGTAGAGCATGTTTTTCTCTTTTAGAAAGAATTCACATACAGAAAAGACCTTCGAGAAGAAATTATTTTCACAATTGATCCTTTGACTGCTAGAGATCTTGACGATGCTCTACACATCAAGCCAAAAGAGAATATTGATGGCAAAGGCAAGAATGGATGGGAGGTAAAACAAATGTAACTAGGCTTGTTAAGCTTACTGATTGTTATACAGATTGGTGTTCATATAGCTGATGTTACTCATTTCCTGATTGAGAATTCTGAGCTCGATCACTGGGCTACTCAACGGGCAACCAGCACATACCTTGTGCATAAAGTTATTCCTATGCTGCCCAGAATATTGTGTGAGCAGCTCTGCTCTCTCAATTCATCTGTCGATAGACTAGCCTTCTCTGTTATTTGGGATGTTGATGACGAAGGAATCATACATTCTGAGTGGTTCGGTAAGATTCATTCATTTCTTTTTCTTATTTCTCAAATTTTCTTACGGCGAAATGATGAACCCAGTAAAAGGTCTGAGACTATTACGTTAAGTGAGAATGTGAGGCTAGACAGCTTTATGTTGAAGTTGATCTACATGAAAAACCTTAAATTGACAACCTAAAGACTTTATACGCTTCTTTTTGTACTAAAGTTCATCAAAATGATATTTCAAGTCGCACATTCCGAATTATTATTCTGGGTTATCGCCAACAGCATTCCACTCGAACCGATATTCAAATGATCACAGCCTAAGTGAACTGATCGTCCAACTAAAATTAAAAACAACGCTTGAAAAAAAAATATTTTGAAACTGTTTTTATTTTCTTTCAGGAAGATCTATTATCCGATCTAAAGTGAAACTGTCATATGAACACGCACAACAGTTCATTGAGAACCCAGAGGAAAAGTTCGAGACATCTCAATTCCCTGATATCTGTGATAATGTAGAACTTGATGTTATCAAAACTAAGGTTTGATTTACACATCAAGAAGGAAACAATAAGTTGAACTCAGGTCCTACAACTTAATGCTGTTGCCTCGAAACTAAGAGCAACCAGAATCGCAAATGGAGCTTTACGTTTGGATCAACCAAAGCTCAAGTTCGCTCTAGATGAGGACAGAAAGTACCCTATTGGAGTAACTGTTTATGAAGTATGTGATTCCTCACGTTCCTATAGTAAATTTGGTTCTTTCTAGATCAAGGACTCCAATCGACTTGTTGAAGAGTTCATGCTTATGGCAAATATGTCTGTTGCGAAAAAGATTGAAGGAGCTTTCCCTCAAGTTGCTCTGCTTCGTAACCATCCTTCTCCAAACAGAAAAGTTATGAAGGAAGTGGTACGTTTGAATTGTCAATAGCTTTCTAATTTTGGTTGTTCAGCTCGAGTTGTGTGAGAAGATCGGCTTCCCACTAGATGGCTCGTCATCAGGACTTCTGTCATCATCTCTTCGCAAATTTGAAGGAGACCAAGAACTTGTGAAGAACATCAACCAAGTGCTGTCTATGCTAATGATGAAATCAATGAGGCTCGCTCAATATTTCTGTACTGGAACGAGAGACTCGAAGGAATCTTATCATCATTATGCTCTTAATGCACCATTGTAAGATTAATAGAGAAAGTTATTTCTATCCATTATTTACAGCTACACCCATTTCACTTCACCCATCAGACGGTATGCTGATGTTATGGTTCACAGGCTTTTAGCTGCTGCATTGAACTACTCCGCTCCACCAGAGAAAAGTATTCAAGAAGTCGAGAAGATTGCTAGAATCTGCAATGAGAAGAAACAAGATGCTAGAGACTGTAGTGAAGCTAGCGATGAGATGTTCTTTGCTAATTTTGTGAAGGTTAGTATCGAAGAGTATCTGAATCTCATTGTCAATTTCAGGAGTGTGGACCTATCGAAGAACGTGGAGTTGTTGTCAACGTTTTAGACCAGGCTTTCGATGTTCTAGTTCTCAAATACGGAGTCGTTAAAAGAGTATATGTTAATGTAAAGCGTTTGTTGCTGTACAAGTTCTGATATATTAATTCAGAAGCTCGACATGGCAAGGGATCCAGTCCATCGTGAGGGACCACCACCTACCCTCACCCTTTATTGGAATTCTTCATCAGGGTCAGGAAATGCCGCTGTTGAACAAACTATTCAACTTTGTTCAATAGTTGACGTTGTTCTCTCAGCTTTGCCTGAGCCAACCAAGTATCAGGTGAGTCTCTCTTGTTGTATTATTGGTAACCTACATGTTATAGGCTGTCATAAAAACAAAGTCTACTCAAGAAACTCCAACACTTCTGGAGAATTATAATAAAACTTTAGAAAATTAATTTTTAACAGTCCTCTTAATTAATTTCGGCGGGTACTTAATCATTTCGGGTCATCCACCTCTTGTTGGCCATTTGTATCCGGGTATTCAGTAAAATCCACACAGTATATACTTTGTATGAATGTTGTTTGTTTTAGAACTTGATTGTAATTTCGTAATGTTACATATCGCATGTACTCCTTTTAAGGTTTGTTTTGTTTTGTTATTTGTTTGCACATTATAAAGGTTTTTTAATAAGAAGAGCTTGCACTGCTATCCTTCAGTTGTTCATATTCTGAAATGATATTTGGCGCATGGACTAATAAGAATCTAACATGATCCTTGAGATGAAAAATGTTGGAGTGTGGCTGAAGCTTTATCCTGTATCTAGTCAGACATGTAGACTTCTATCAACTAAAGTTTTAAAATCAGGAAATGGTAGGGTTTCAAATTGACAGCTTCGAGAAAATGAGATGCTCTCTGCAGCTACTAATCCACTCTTCAAACCTGATAGACCGCCACGAAAACCACGGTATGATGACAAGAAATGGAAGGAAGAAACCATTGCTGTTCTTGAGGTAAACTCATTCCTTGTTATTTTCCAAAGAAATTTTAGAAAAATCTAAAAAAAGAAGCGAAAGAACTTGCACAGCTATATCACCTACATGCTGCTCAAACGCAGGCTGTTCGGTATCTTCGTTTTAGAGAAGGACTCTTAACTTTCGGTTTAGATATACAGTTGAAAATGATTGGTCGTCCTTACTTTCATTTTTGCATACCAGACTTCATACTCGTTCGACCGGCTTCAAAGATAGAGAAGCAAATGAGGTTTTCACGTTCAGCTCTCTTTCGAGTCTGATTAATAGCATGATTTCTCTCAGATTTTTTCTGTATCATTGTTAGCTGTCAGGAAAAATCTAATTCGTATTTTGGAAAAAGACGGAGATAATGCTTCAGAGGCATCAGCTCTATGTTTCTCTCTAGGTTAGCTTCTTAATTACCAGATTTGAGAGTCTACTCGAATACTCCAGGTAATATAGTTAATAAACTCCACATGGATCCTGACACTAGAGCGGTTTCCATATTACTGTTGGATACTTTGACAGAGTGAGCTTGATTCGATTAAACTCTTCTACCCATTTCTCTATTAAGATGGGTAAGCCGAAGAAGTGTTGATGGAGACAGCGATGAGATCGCATATGTTATTCATAGCTATAAGAGGAAAATCAGTAAAGACGTAAGTGAAAGTTTTAACTCATCTAATTCCGCGTTCGCATCTCTGAAAAATCATTTGTTCTGGTGCTCTCATGCTTATGGATCTAAGACTCGTTCAGATCAGTCAATTCGATATATCAAAATGCCATTTGTATTATCCGATAGAGGAGAGGGATGCGATCGATTTTTTCCTCACCGAGTTAGGAAAAAATAACTATCACCAGGAACTTGAAGATTTTGGTTATCCAGAGGTAGTTGAGTACCAGCAGTCTTGTCATTGTAGATTTAGAATATGACGATTGTGGATTCTCTAAGACAGCCGGCTTCTACCTCAGACTACCATGGAAACCCTTTTCAAGTGGATGAAGTGTCGAAGGTGTTTTTGAAATTTATAGCTGTTGAACCTTCTTCGTTGATCAGGAAACTTTGCGTTCTCTGTTTGATGAAAACATCCGAAACGAAAATGCGAATTGGCTGCCAGTGAGAAACTTCGAACCTAACGCACGAAAGGTTTTGGACATTTCTAATAACTGAACTTTACTTCTTATCAGCCGGGAGATCATAACTACGCTGAAGGACTGATAGAGAAATGGGGTTGGAAAACCAATATCACCCAGAGCATAGCTCGTTTAGAGAAGAAAAGAATACAATATCCATGTAAGGAGTATCATTCATGAGCCTTAGTGATTGTATTTTTCAGTGAAAAACTATTTGCAACTTCTTTCTCATGATCAAATCACGGAAGAAGTTCTGCAAGCAGTCACTGCTGCTTGTTCTCAGGGACAAAACATGATTCCGTATTCAACTTTTCAGGTTTGTTGGATTCATCTTTTAGCGTTCATTGTTGTTTCAGTACATGTTAACCCATCCCGTTATGCGCCTTATTCACAATGAACTGCTTTTGAAACTTTCTGTGAATGTAAGCGGGATATGGAAGATAGTTTTCGAAGATTACGCTGAGTTTTTCCAAAAAGAGGAGATCAGTAGGGTGCACACACATAGAGATTGGTGGCGTATCTGCTGTGAGAAGCATGGTATACCTCCAACATACAAAGTTGAACCTCGAAGCATGACGCGAAGTTATTGATTTCATTTAAGCCACCTCTCCATTCTTTCCAATGTGAAGTTAAAAGTCAGTTTTCTGCTTTTCTGGTTGAGGTTGTTCTGGCAGCTTGTGTCTTCCCGATGCGGGATGGAAGAGGGAAAGGTTCGGTTCATCTTGTGTCATTTTTCGAGTAGTACCATTGTGTTAATAGAAATGTGGCTGAACGCATTTGATGTGCAGAATGTAGCCCTGGAAGAGGATTCAAAAGTGTTTGAGACTGGGAAATCAGCATTGACCCAAATGGTTAAACTCCACAAAAAAATGTTGGATGAGCTGGAGAAGTGTAAGTTTGAGTATATTCTCTTCCCCACTCACGAACTACCTATGCAAGTAAGTTTGCAATAGCTTCACTGGGACTAATCTTAATGTTCCCGGTTCCACCAAAGCCTTGGTACGATGGAGCTGTTGGAGGTCCGCAGTATACCCGAGAATGCCAGATCATCCGACCAATTCTTGAATTCAAAAAGGTTAACATCATGCGGGAAATGACTTCACGTTTAGAACGGTTATATTTCGCTACTTGGTTCATTCTTAGCAACACTGTGTTTCAGAAGTCAGGCTCGGCCCGTTTTCGATGCACTTAATCAGCTTGGATCAACTCCTTGGCGGATAAACAAGGATATGCTGAGTGTATTATGCGAGGTTAAAGTTCTGATGCTATAACATTCCTCACCAAAAAGTTTCAGGTATTCGAAATGTCCAAAAATCCCACAAAGAAAGAATTGTTCGAAACGCTCAGTGTGCCGCTTCATGCGGATACTGTATCTGTACCTCGCATACAAGATTTCATCCAAGAAGGGTCGGAAAATGAAGAAGGCGTGAAAGAAAAATGGAGAGCATACTATGCAGCAAAAAGATTAGCAGAGAAAACGAAGTATGTTTTCGGCGAGAATGCTATCTTTGGCCGCATTGAGCTATCTAGAAAAGTCTCTCACTCTCTGCTTTGTTTCAGGAATGAACATAACTCGTTGTGGTACTGGATGAAGTACAGAGTGGTTCTGGCTAAGCATTTCCAGGACAAAGTCTTGTATTTTCCTCATAATATGGATTTCCGTGGACGAGTGTATCCTATATCTCCTTATCTCAACCATATGGGCGACGATGTCAATCGGTGTATTCTGAAGTTTGCTGCTGGTATGGTGTGCTCGTGGTGAACTGAATGCTCTTAATTCTTTTGCAGGACGTCCTTTAGGACCCAATGGCTTATCTTGGCTGAAACTGCATTGCATAAACTTGACAGGCAAATTAAAAAGAAAAAGCATTTCCGAGAGACTTCAGGCCGCGGAGGAAGAAATGGAAGCTATTTTGGATTCTGCCAACAATCCTTTAGATGGTATCAGTTAACTTTGTTTTTTTCGCACAATCTCGTTAAAGGTAGAGGTTGGTGGCTTGAGTCAGAAGAACCATGGCAGACCTTGGCTGCTTGCTTCGAAATAAGAGATGCCATTCTCTCAGGAGACCCAGAAAGTTTTGTTAGGTACCAGCCAGTTTTAGCGAGACCGTTATCATTTTTTTCAGTCACCTCGCAGTTCACCAGGATGGAAGTTGCAATGGCTTACAACATTATGCTGCTCTTGGTCGAGATAAACAAGGGGGTGAAGAGGTTAATCTTTTACCAAGCGAGCTACCTAACGACGTGTATTCATCAGTAGCGGTGCGGTATGTATCATACAACTGATAGTTTCTCATTTATTCTTAGTGTGGAACAGAAGCGAGTAGAAGACGAAAACAATGAGCAGAGCGAGTTCCATGAAGTCGCTTTGAAGCTGAGAGAGTTTCTACCGGTCGTGGTACCTCGGAAGGTTTGTGTGATTACTTCTGTGTTTATATGCTTTGTTGAAGGTTATTAAGCAAACCGTAATGACTACCGTATACGGTGTCACAATGTATGGAGCGGCATTACAAATAAAACGCCAGCTGAAAGCACTTGGAATAGAGAGTGAAGAGGTCGGAGGCGGTTATGTAACCTTAATCATTCACTATTCTCAGATAGCCAAGTTTGCCTCCTACCTGACTCTGCGAACGTTTGCTAGCTTGAATGATTCATTTACTAGTTCAATGTAGGGCAAAACAAATATGTGAAATTCTACAACCCATTCAGGCAATTGAAGAATTGGTTCCGTGAATGTGCAAAGGGGACCAGTGAACTTTTACAAACCGTGGAATGGGTGACTCCATTGGGGCTACCTGTTGTTCAACCGTACTTGAGGTCGAAGGATTCTCGAGGAAAAATATTTTTAGCTCCAGTAGGAACTAAACAAGTATGGAGCGCAGTAAAATGAAATGAAGTGATGGTAAATGTTTTTTTTAGATCGGCGCCTTTCCACCTAACTTCGTCCACTCTCTTGACTCTACTCACATGATGCTCACTGCACTAGAATGCTCGAGGAGGTAAGAAGCTAATTTCGTCTGTGAACATATTACTTTCAGAGGATTGACTTTCGCGGCTGTCCATGATTGTTTCTGGACTCATGCATCAACTGTAGATGAAATGAACACCATTTGTAGAAATCAGTTCGTATCTCTTCACAAGCAACCCTTGGTGAAACAGTTAGTGTTTTATATATTTCACAGTATTAATTGATAACTCTAGGTTTTCTGAATATGCCATTTCGAAATACTTGACTCCGGAACTTTTATCGAAAATGGAGAAGAAAGACCAAGAGCGCTATTTGAATCTGTTTTCGCTCCAAATTCAGCCGGGAGAGCTTGATATTAACGATGTGATGAAGTCTCAATACTTCTTCAGTTAATCACTCAATGTAAATACGTATGCTAGTCATTTATTGTTGATTTTATTGTTATTGGATAAACTATTTGCCTGTTTTAGACAGTCTTATACGGGATCATCACCTTACCTTCTAACGAAAAAAATTTGCCATGCGCATTAGATTTTCAAAAATTTTTTGATGAAACTCAAAACGCTCTGGATGGTTTAGATGAAGTTCAACCGTTCTGGACGGTTTGGGGAGGAATGCGACCGTTCTGAGCGGTTTTGCTATTGAATGCAACCTTTCAGTGCGTCTCAGGTGAGATCCAGATTTCTCCAGATCCCATCTCTGGCTTGTGAGCCAATGAGCTTTTCCTCCTCTCTGAAAGACCTTCAGAGAGCGAGAGGAGTGGAGCTCACCGGCTCACATCGTCAACTGACTTGATGAAGATGCTCCACGGTTTATATACCCCTGCGGAAACGCGCCACGTGGAAATAATTTTTACGTGAAAAAAATATGACCCGGTCGTTCTGTTTCAAAACAATGCTCTAACTTGGCTCAAAAATGATAAAATCGGTGGTTTTTGGGTTATTTCGGATCAGAATTTCATTTTAAACTTGAATATGTATTTCACTTGCTGATTTGAAATCTTAATGTTACGAAAAAAAACCTTTTTTCATTTCAAATTTCCATTTTGAATCTGATCTCAAAGTTCATCTCCTAAAATAAGTTTTTTTGTAAAATGAGTGTCGTGCGTCGTTCATTGTAGTTAGTTGTTGTAGTCTGAGCTCACCCTTCTTCCGTTTTCATCGATTTCTCCCTATCACTCCTACTATCGTTAACTTACTGGTTATCGATTGATTTCCTGTTTGAGTCCTTATGGTATCTTTTATGTTGTCCAATTTCGAAAACTCTTTC